CAGGTCACCCTGGGGGCTAGGTCACAGCTCAGCAGGTTCCCCTGAAGGAGGGACTGCAGACCCCAGCTCTGCACAGCTCGCCCCGGGACCCCCCTGGCTAATCCCCATGTGGACAGCCACTTCCTCTCCCATGATCCTCAGCACTCCCAAGCAAGTGGACAGCCCCAGGCCGTGACCTCTGATCTGGGGACTCTGAGGTCCTGCCCCCTCTCCTCTGAGTCACTGTGAGTCACCGAGAGCATGAGGAGCTGCCCAGCCCGGTGACAGGTGCCGGCGAGTCAGCTCACCTGCCCGCCACTTCCTCTGTGCCACCTCCCCTGGCTCCGTCCCTGTCCTTCCCATCCTAGAGCCCTCCCTCCCTGCCTCCGGGTGGCGGAGTTTGCAAGCTCCTTCCAGTCTGAGTTCTTAGCACTGGGGCTTCCGGTTGCAGCAAGAGTAGGCGGGAAGGAAGAATCCCTGACTGCGTGGGAGTATGCGCCCAGTGCTGGTCACATGGTAACGTGACCCGTAACACTCAGGGTTTGCGTCTGTGTCGAGCAGTGGGTACCTCAGGTGGGGAGACCTGTTTCGTAGCATTTGCTGATTTCTGTTGTACGAACTGTCCCACCACGCATGACTGGTTTCAAGATGCTAACATGATGTCAGCTGCTTGCAATGTGCAAATTTTGTGAAAATTAACTATCAGTTCTTTTTTGTTGTTGTTGTTACAGAGGTCTCAATATGTTGCCCAGGCTGGTCTCTTGGGCTCAAGAAATCCTCTGGCCTCAGCCCCCAAAGCCCCGGGAGCAGCTGGGGTTACAGGCGCACACCCCCACGCCTGGCCCTGACTACCAGCTCCTGGGCACCGGCAGAGGTGGCTGCGCCGCCTTTAACAGAGTATTTATTTTTTTGAGACAGAGTCTCACTCTGTTGCCCAGGCTAGAGTGAGTGCCGTGGCGTCAGCCTAGCTCACAGCAGCCTCAGACTCCTGGACTCAGGCGATCCTCCTGCCTTAGCCTCCCGAGTAGCTGGGACTACAGGCATGGCCACCGCGAGCAGCTAAGTTTTTCTATATATATTAGTTGGCCAATTAACTTCTTTCTATTTTTAGTAGAGACGGGGTCTCAATCTTGCTCAGGCTGGTCTCCAACTCCTGAGCTCAAACAATCTGCCCGCTTCAGCCTCCCAGAGTGCTGGGATTACCGGCGGGCATGAGCCACCGCGCCCGGCCTAACAGAGGGTATTTAAAGGTAAACAAGCAGGCGAAGCCCGGGGGCTCCAGGCTCACCTGTGATCGACTGAATTCACCAGGCGCGGGGGCGGGGGGCGTCCTTGTGGTGTGGTGGTGATAGGAGCTTTTCCAGCAAGCCGAGGCTCAGGTGTAGGCTGGTAAGCGGGGAAGGCCTGCGGGGTTCTGGCACTCAGAGTGGACAGTCCAAGGACATTTCCATAGGAGCCTCCAAGGGCAGGGAAGCCCAGAGTGACAGGCGGGTTACCAGGGAAACAGGTTCCAAGGACAGCTCAGAAGTGAGGTTAGATGAGAGGAAGGACATCCGTGGGACATCTCGGCCTCCAGCGCTCCTGGGCCTCGAAGGCCAGGCTCCTGCCGCCATTAGAGCCTCGGAAAACCCTGCCGGCGCAGGGGCGTAGCCTGTGCCGTTGCCCCGCTGCCCTCCGCGCTTGGAGGCCACCAGCCCTTCTCACCTGAGCGGCCGTTTCTCCTGTGGTCCTGGCCGGTGTGGCCAGCGCCGACCGGTCCCTGTCACACACAGGAGGCCCGGGCTGGAGAGGGGCTGCTCTGCAGTGCTCTGCCCGCTCCAGCTTGAGTCGCCCCGGGAGGGACTGAGGTCTGCTGTCCCCAGCTGTGCCCTCCAAGAGCAGTGTCAAGAACTCAAATGCTCCAGGACCCAGGGTGGACCTGGTGCAGTGGCCGGGGCAACAGGTCGGGGGACGGATGCCACAATCCATGAAGATTCCGATATTTAATGAAAAGGTGGGAATCCAGAATTTGTTTAGTTGTAGTAAAATATACATAAGCTTTACCACAGTACCCGATTTTCAATACCTTCATTCTGTTGCGCGACCATCACACCATCACCTCCATCCCTCTCCGGAACGTTCCCATCTTCCCGAACTGAGACTCCGTCCCTGTCAGGTGCTTACTCCCGGTTCCCCCGCCCGGCCTGGTTCCGGGCCTCACCCAAGGGGACCTAACAGGTCGCTGCACACACGTGACCTCCTCTGCCCCCCACCCCTGCAGCCCCCAGTCCTCGGCTGCTAGGGGCTGGAATGTTCTCCCGCATGGGCGGTTCTTGGGGTCACTGCGCCAGAGCCCTGCCTGCACCCCCAGCCTTGCACCCCGGCCCTCCCCTCACGCAGTGCCTGCTCCCGTTTCCCCACGGATTTTACCAACTATTAGACTACATGGGCTCAACACAGCCCCTGGCACTGAGTAGCCTCTGGGGTGACAATGGATGGGGTCCCCTGTCCAAAGGATCTCCTGGCTCCTGGGCCCATATCTGAAACACTCCCTCGGGGCAGTCACTTCTTTGGCTTAAGCATTGCCAGCTCCGGCCGCTAGCAGGAAAGTCACCGCTGCCTCCGTGCGGGTCCCCCAGTGGCCCCCAGACCAGGCTGGCGTGGGTGGCAGGGCGGGTGGCTCCTCCAGCTCTTGCCAGCAGACATGCCCTGCCGGGACGCCCGGTGCGGGTCTGGCGTGGGGTAGACACTCAATAAACATTTTGCTGAATCGATATTGAATCAGGCAGGGTCTCCGCTCCCTGGCCCTTCAGAGACTCTGCCTGCCACGCCTTGGGAATTGAGGACAGGTGCCAGGAAGTCTTCACCTGGCTCCACAGGACTTCCTCTGGCCCCTATGAGGCCCTTCTCCCTGGGGCCCTCTTCCTGGTCATCCCATCCCAGGGATGGCAGCAGCTCGGGCAGAGCACATGCCCCTTGGGTCCCCAGGGCAGTAAGCCAGGTTTTAGGCAGAGAAAGCTGGAGAGGAAGCTGGGGAGGGAGGAGACTGGAACCATCAGTCCCCAGCCACCTCCAGACTCACCTCTTCCACGCTCATTTATTCATTCAACAAACATCCATTGAGACCTGATGTGCAGCAGGCACCAAACATGATCCTGAGGATCCATGGGGACCCTCCCCTCCACACCCTGTCCCTCTGCTCAGGGAGCCACAGCACAGCGCCCAGCTTTACAGGGCCCCCCAGGGGCCGTGCCACAGCCTCTGTGCCCCCCACGAGGCCTCACTCTCATCCCCCAGTCACCTGCCCCCATCCCCAAAAAGATGCGTGTCTCTGAACGCAAGACCTGTCTTGTTCATCTTTGTGTGTCCTGGCACCTGGCACAGGGCCTGACATTCAGCAGGTGCCCAATAAATGTCGGGTGAGCTGGGGAGGACAACCACCTCAGTTCCAGAAGGGAACGGGTCGGAGAGCGTGGGGTGCAGGGCCAGCCGCAGGCGCAGGGGCCCCAGGAGAGAGCAGGTGAGGAGGCCCCGGGGCCCTGCCCCTCACCTGGCCACTGTGTGTGGGCATTTCCTGCAGTGCCCCAACCCCTCAGAGTCCTGGGATGGAGAATAGTGCGGTCTCCCCCCGCCCCCGGGTCTCATGCAGCCCCTGGCTGGGCCTGGCCCTGGGCGGGGGAGGGCAGCTCTTGCTAGTGGCAGACCCCAGCTGCCTGGGACCCCGACAGCAACAGTCCTGTGGCCACCCTGACCCTGACAGACTGCAGAGGGCTCCGACGTGCATTCTCCAGGAGGTGAGGTTGGGCTCACGGGTCCCTCCCGTCTGAGCCTCTGCACCTGTCTCTCCTCTATCTGGAAGGATGTCACTGTCCCCGTCACCATGCCTCTGCAGGGCCAACCTTGCTCTTCTCCAGGGCCCTGAGTCAATGGCCCCTTTCCTGGACAGCCTTTGCTGACCCCCCGATTGGGGTCAGGTTCCCCAGAGCTCCCGCCCCAGCACTGAGGGCCCCTGCAAAATGCTCCACCCCGGCAGGAGCTCCCCTGAGTCTAGTCCCACAGCTGTCTGCAGAATTGGGATTCAGATCTGGGTTTCACCACTCATCGACCGGTTGGGGGACCTTGGGCAAGTCACTTAGCCTCCCTGAGCTGCCTCAGTTTCCTCATCTGCAGGCTGGGAGTGATAAGGAAATTCGAAAATGATTGTTTTGTTCACACTTCCAGCCAAACCAGCCCCCACCCCCAGGTCTGTTGTTCAGATGAGAGAATGGGCCTAAAGTTGCTGCCAGTCTGGAGGAAGCCTGGCCTGCTCGGCTGAGGGGGCTGTCGAAAGCGTGGGCCAGGCAGGGCGCTGGCAGGGCTGAGTCAGAGCGGGAGGAAACACCTCGCTCGCCCCCAGCCCCAGCTCCTCCTCCACCCCCAGCCCAGCCCCACCCGCCCAGCGGCTTTGACCCCTGGGGGTTCCTGGCAGAGGTTGCCACAGGCCAGCCCAGGTGCCCGCCGGCTCCTCCCCTTCCCGCGAGTCCAGGTGAGAGGTGAGTGCAGGGACAGGGCTGAGCCCCACCCACAGGGACAACTGGAGGGCGGCCCCAGGGATGGTGGCTCCAAGGATGGAGGCCACTCGGGCCTGATTCACAGCCTTCCGGGAAGTGGGTTAACGGGATTCCAGGGCCCCAGGTGGGGCCAGGTCTCTAGGCTGTGTCACGGGGCCCAGGTCCCTGGAGTTGGGAGCCGTTACAGAGCCTCAGGCACCCCCTCGCAGCCCCTAAAGCCCTGGGGCACCCCCAACACCCGGTGCTGCAGCCTTTAGCCTCCCAGCCCCTCTTCCTTTCCACGCTACGGGGACCTTTCTTTGCCCCCTGGGCAGTCTTTGTCAGGGACCCCAGGGCCGGGGCCCCTCACCCGCCCCTCCCGAGGCCACATCCTGGACCCACAGCCCCAGCCTGGGCCTGAGCCCACCCTCAGCCCGAGCCTCCCGTCCCTAGCGGCTCATTTCCTCCCCGCGGCCCCGCCCGCCCCGTCACCCCCAGTCTGGGTGGCCGAGACTGAGCCGCCCGGGAGACTGGTCTGACGGCATTCCGCCTCCCCGGATAAAACCTGAGGCGACCCGCAGGGAACCCTACACTCTCAGGCCACCCGCCACGCCTGTCCCGACCTGCACAGCCCTCGGGTCCCTCGAGCCCGCCGTGCGCTGCCCCCCCCCCGCCGCCATGGTGGTTCCCAGACCCCCCCCAGCTCTGGGTGGGGCCTGTCTCAGGATCCTGGCCTCCCTGCTGCTGCTGGCGGCCTCCGCAGGTGAGTCCCCGGCTGCCCCTCCCTCCCCCGCAGGCGGCCGCCGCCTCCGCGCAGACGCCGGGCCTTCCGCCCGCCCGAGCCGGCCTCTCCCTCGGCCCTCGTGCCCTCCGTGCGGCGCTCTCTGTCCCCGGCTACTTCACCGCCGAGCCCGTTCCCCTAGAGCGGCGAGGGTCCAGTGAAAGGATGCGGTGCTCTCCCGCGCGTCCTTCCGGCCCCGCCGCCCCTGCGGGCTCGCGCGTGCGGTCAGCAGGCTTCGCTCCTGGGGCAGGAGGCCACGGGGAGGGCGCCGGGTGGCAGCAGCGTCCAGGCCCCTGGGAGGAGCCGCCCCTGGTCCCACCCCTTGCCCGATCCCTCACACCCGCTGGCGGACCGAGCGCCGCGCAGGCCGGGCAGGGCGCAGGTGCGAGGCCCGGAGGGATCCCTGGGGCCTGGGGGAGGGGGCTGCTCTCCCCGCCGGCCTGACCCTCCCTTCTCTCACCCTCAGCCACCCTCAAAGCCGCCAGGATTCCCGGTGAGTGGGAGCTGCGGTCGTCGGGGCAGGGAAGGAAAGCCAGGGGGGTAGGGCAGGCCCCCTCCACCCCAGTGTCCCGTCCTGGGGACACGGCCCAGGGGCCCGGGGTGAGGGGGGCGCTGGAGACGAAGGAGGTTGGAGAGTAGGACCGGCCTGGAGGTGCCTGGCAGGTGGGCGGAGCGGAAGCGGCCTGGGGGAGGGGACAGACCAGAGGTCACAGAGTGGAGGGAAGGGCCCAGAAAGGGCAGCACAGAGGAGGATGAGCTGGTGGTGGAGGGAGAGATGCCAGGATGTGACAGGACGTGGCGGGGCTTGAGCTCTGCCTGTGGCCTGGGGGGTGCTGGGAGCTGAGGTGCCAGAATCTTGCCCCGCCAGCGCCCCCAGCCTGCGGGAAGCCCCAGCGGCTGGACCGGGTAGTGGGCGGCCAGAACAGCGCGGACGCAGAGTGGCCGTGGGTCGTGAGCATCCAGAAGAACGGGACCCACCACTGCGCAGGCTCCCTGCTCAGCAGCCGCTGGGTGGCCACCGCTGCCCACTGCTTCAAGGGGTATGTACGGCCAGGCCGGTCCACGTGGTCCTCCGGGACCTCAGGCTTCCTCCCCTCGCAGCCCCCACTTCCACGCCTCCGTCCAACCTTGGCGCCCCTCGGAAGAGACCCCTGTTCTACCGGGCGGGGCCTCTCTCGCCTTCAGGGCCTTCCTAACTTCGCTGTTGCCCCAGACAGCTCCCCCCAGAGCCCTCCCGGCTGACCCTGACCCTGCCCTTCCAGGAATCTGGACCAGCCATCCCTGTTCTCCGTGCTGCTGGGGGCCTGGCAGCTGGGGCGCCCTGGCCCTCGGTCCCAGAAGGTGGGCATCGCCTGGGTGCTGCCCCACCCTGTGTACTCCTGGAAGGAGGGTGCCGGCGCAGACATCGCCCTGGTGCGCCTGGAGCACCCCATCCAGTTCTCTGAGCGCATCCTGCCCATCTGCCTGCCCGACCCCTCCGTGCACCTCCCCGCAGACACCGACTGCTGGATCGTGGGCTGGGGGAGTGTCCAAGATGGAGGTGCGGCTTCTTCCTCTCTGAGGTGGTTGGGGACGGATGGGGACCGAGGGTGGTGGACACTCAGAGACACAGGTGCCATGAGCAGCAAGGGGTAGAGGCCAGAGGCACAGCATGACAGAGACAGAAGAGAAGATGGGCTAGAACTGAGATGTGAAGTCACAGAGACCTAAGTGGACAATCTTGGGTCATTTCTTGTTCAAAGGTATCTTTGAGTTTCCAGGCGGCAGCAGCCAGATGGACGAAGCTATTTGTTGATGTAGGAAGGCTGAGAGGTGTGTTGGGGGGCAAGGAGGGCAAGCTGAATGCTGGTCAATGTGAAGAGCCTGAGCAGGGTGGGGATGAGGACCCCTGGTGGCAGCATGCCACAATTGCAGGCAAAACTCCCAGGAGGAAATCCAGGCTCCATGATGGTAAAATATAATTTCCAAACCAAGTCTGCGGTTTGGAAAACATCATCTAGAAACACAAACCAGATTGAATAAAGCAAGAGGCAAAGAAGCAGCAAGGGAAAGACAGGTGACAGGTAGACAGACATATGCATGATGGATGGGGACGGGGCCAAGGAAAGAAAACATACAGGCAGAGACAGGGGCTGAAAGAGATGGGGAGAGACAGAGACCTGGGAGTGACAGATTTCAAGAGAGAAAGAGGCAGAGACTAAATAAGGACAAAGTGTAAGAAAAATGGGATTTAACCAGATTCCAACAATTAAGAGAAATGACACCAGTTAGGATATGTGGGGTCCCCCTGACTCTGAGGTTGCAGCCTCCCCAGGGGCTTCTGCAAGAGCTGGTTGTGACCTGGAGAGATCCATGGGCCAACCCCAGGAGGGCATGGGGGATCCTGCAATATCCAATGTCTAGTGGACACTTCCTGAACACTTGTTCTGTGGCAGTCCCCATGCTGGGTGACGATGCAGCCCCTGAGACACGTAAAGCTGGGACCAGTGCTCTGAACCATCTGGGGCACCAGAGAGCTTAATGCAGAGGCAGATCTCAGGCTCCGCGTCCAGGTTCTTGTTCAGTGAGGCCAGAGGTGCAGACCTGAATCCGGTTTTCTGAAAGCATCTTGGGAGAGGCTGACAGAGCTGCTGGCAGAAAGGGAGACAGTCCCCTGAGGAGGACTAAGAGGGGAGAACCCAAGCCTGACTCTGTCCTCCTTGCCCCCAGTGCCCCTGCCCCACCCTCAGACCCTGCAGAAGCTGAAGGTTCCCATCATCGACTGGGAAACCTGCAGCCGGCTGTACTGGCGCGGCGCCGGCCAGGGAGCCCTCACCAAGGACATGCTGTGCGCCGGCTACCTGGAGGGGCAGCGAGATGCCTGCCTGGTGAGCACCCCAGCCCACCTCCCACACTGGCTCAGGGCCTCGAGAAAGAGCCAGCATCAGCCCTGTCCCCACCGGGCTCTGTCACCTTTTCCTGGGCACCTCTCTGGAATCGGCTGGGCCGACAGTCCCCCAGTCCCTGCAGCCAGCCTCAGCCTGGCCCAGCCGTTCACTGGTCTGCGCAGACGCCAGACGTACACTGAGCACCCGGCTGCCTCATCTGGGGAGCCCACGCTGTCTTGAGGGGGTCCCCAGCTCGGTCTGCAGCTCCAGCGACCGTGGTGGAGGGTGGCAGGAGTGTGTGACTGTTAGCACCGGCCTGGACCTCGGGAGGCAGGGTCGTAATCACGACTGCAGCGCTTGGGTGCCCGCCTGGGTAGAGTTTCCTCTCTGCAGAACAGAGATGGCGACATGGGCCGGAGGGGCCAAGGCGGGCGAGAAGCGCGCTGGAAGTGGGTCTGGAGGGCGCGTCCTTACCGCCGGCCTGGCGTGGGTCCCGGGCTCTGCCTGCCCTTGCCTGGCAGTCCCTAACGTCCTCTCTTCTCCTGCAGGGCGACTCTGGAGGTCCCCTGATGTGCCAGGTGGACGGCGCCTGGCTGCTGGCCGGTGTCATCAGCTGGGGCGAGGGCTGCGCGGAGCGCAACCGGCCTGGCGTCTACACCAGCATGTCCGCACACCGCGCCTGGGTGGAGAGGGTCGCGCAGGGCGTGCAGCTCCGCGGGCGTGCGCAGGGTGGCCCCGGGGCCAGCGGGGCCGCCTAGCCTGGGATGTCAAGCACGTGGCCTCCGCTGCAAACAAGCACCCACCCCGGGGTCCACATTGGGTCACGCGTCCGGGGGGAGCAGGCCCTGCCCCCAGGCCGGGAGCACCTTAGTGTATATATTATGTTAATGGTTTGTACAGTTGTTTGTAACCCTGCCCACATATCTTATTTATTCTTCCAATTTCAATAAATTATTTATTCTCCCGTTCCTGGTTTTGCCCACGTATGGGGACATCGGGAAGCAATGCTGGGGCTAAAATGAGGGGAGTGGGGCATGAGCTTGGCGTTGGCCTGGTGGGGCCCAGGTGTCCTCTCCGCCTGCGGCTCCAGTGGCCCCCCGGTTTGCACCTAGGGTTTGGCATCCTGACCCCTGACCCTTGCGGCCTGAGCCTGCCCTCTCTTCCTGTCCCCCTCCCACCAGGGTGGCCGAATTGAGTGGGGGTCTAGTGGCCTGGGCAGGGGTTGGAGGCCCCTCCACTGCCCTTTGGAATTCCAAATAGGGCTGGCTAGGAGAAACACAGCCATGGAGAGTGGGGTGGTAGCTCCTGCCTCAGGCCAATACCGCCCACTGCCCCGCAGGGCCCAGGATCCTGGGTTGGAGGGCCCTGGGCTTGGAGGGGAGGTGTCCAGGTGAACTTCGAGAGGAGCCCTCTGTCTCCCAGGCTTGGCCACTGCTCACCCCCAGGAGCTGATTCAGGAGTGACTCACTGCTGACCCTCTAAGTCCCCCTGCGGAGGAAGGAGCAGGACAAAGAGACCCCAGGTCTCCAGACGCTCAGGGCTTGCAGGGGTGGGGGGCGCTGGTCCAGGCTGGTGTCTGTCTTTGGAAGTGAAAAAAAAAAAAAGAGAGAAGAAAAATTAATAGAAAATTAATATAAATATTAAAAAAAAAGAGGGGGGAAATGGGCATTTATTGAAACCTTAAAATCTGTACCCCCATAATATGCCAAAAAAAAAAAGAAAAAAAAAAAGAAAAAAAAAGAAACAACCAGGTCTGATCACACTGAAAAAAAGAGATAGTCCTCTGCCACAAAGCCTCTCCAACTAGACAGGGTCAGGGGAGTGGCGAGTTTTTGAGGAGGCACCTCGGGTTTCTGTGCGCGCGTCCTCTGTTGGGAGTGCAGTTCTCAAATATTTCCTCACTCTGTTTTGATTACCTTTATGTTATTAGATCACTGTACATGCTGCGGGGTTGTCTTTGTTAAGAAACAAACAAATAAACCACAAAAACTGGACTCCTGCCTGCCAGAGAACCAGCCTGGGGTGTGCTGGGGTGACTCAGTGTCCCCACGGCCCCTCCCTCTGTGACCGGGTCCCCCCATGGTCCATCTTTCTGCTCTCTGGCTCTCCACAGCCTCCACCTTCTTTCAGCTCCCTTCCCTTGCTAACCCTCATTTGCTGGCCCCACTCCCTGCCTCAGTTTCCCCCTCTGTCCTTGCCCTCCCTGCTCCTCCCTTCCCCCACTTTCTATTCCTGAGTGCCCCCTCCCCGCATTTCTCCTCCTCCTTTCCGTCTCCCTTCTCTGTCCTGGGGTCTCTCCTTTTGCCCCCGGCCCTCCCCCCTCGCTTTGGCCGCAGACCCCCCACCCCCATCTCCATCTCCCTCTCGTCTCCTGTCCCCCTTCTGTCCCGCTGCATCTCTTCCTTCTCACTCTCACTCTCCAACCCTCTGCTCTCAGGCCTGTCTCTCTACCCTCCAGCAACTCCCTTCGATGGGATCCTTACGGAAGCCCCTGAGAAAGCGATGCCTGGAAATTTCTGCTGGGGTAGAGAATCGCCCCATGAATGTTGGGACACTCAGGCAAGGGTGGGGATTTCTCCGAGTTGGGAGGTCACCTCCAGGTAGCATCTGGGCCCTCCTTGCTGGCTCTGTGGGATCCGAGGGGCCCAAGGGGCAGGCTGGGGTGTGACGTGGGGAGCCGGCCCCGGCTCTCCAGTGCAACAGGACTTCCGGGGACCCCTCTCCCAGGCGGGGCGGAAAGCGTAGTCGCCCCCAGGCCCTGCAGGGTTCAGCCAGTTCGTGCAGCTCTTGCTCCCGGGCAGCCTTCTCTTGGGGGCTTCTGCGGGTGGGTGGGGTGTTCACCCCACTCAGAATCACGGTCACTCCACGTCCTCAAGCCTTGCTGGACACACAGTAGCCTCCTTCTCCTTGCTGGAGCCTGGCCTGTGAACAGGTCCCAAATGTAGACACTCTAGGTGGAGAGGCCTCACTATTTTGGTCCCACCAACATCACCTGCCTCTAGGGGCTGCAGACAGACCGCCCTGGGCTTCCAGGCTGTCCCCGAGAGAGGACATCCCACATGGTCCAGCTGGAATTGGCCCCCCTGGCTGGCCAATTCCAACTTGACTCCTGGGCAGGTGTCTCTGACCATCTTCAACCTCCTGCCCAGGAAAGCCTTTCCCGGAGCTCTCCCTCCCTCCCCAAGGGCAGGGTGGGCCCATCTGGCCCGAGTGACAAATGTCCTTGTGGAAGGAACTGCCTTGGCTGCAGGCTGTGCGGTCTGGCTTCGCCTCCTTCACACACTCCTTCCAAGCTCCATCCTCAGGTCCTTACCCCTCGAGGGGACTGTCAGCATGGTACCTGGGACGTCCCAACTTCCCATCACTCTGCATCCGGAGCAAATGTTTAAAAACACACATTTAACCACAGGACTTCCCTGGGCTGCAGCCTCCTTTGGTTGGCTAAGCCAAGACCCGCTTCCCCTCCTCTCCCTGTGTCTTCACTTCCAAGGCTGGAAGCTACGTGCTCACTCCCAGTCTCCCGCACGGGTCACATGCACCTGTGGGACTAAGTGTTGGCCTATGAGTTGGGAAGACTTTCTTTTTTCCTGGTAAAAGGGACTTATTCAGCGGGCATCATCCTTTCGCATCTTCCTTCTTCTAGTCTTGGATGCAGATGCAATGCCCACACTTCAGCAGCCATCTCACGACAATAAGGCTCGACCTGCTAATGACAGTCCACCAAGACTCAGCAGCTATGGGTGGGACGACATGACCGAGATACTGCCCTGCTCTGACACACCTGTCTCCTTCCAGGCTTCTGCTTGCTTTAAGCCACTGTTGGTTGGACTTTCTTTTACTTGCAGCTCAATGCATTCCTTATTGATATCTACTTCTAACCCCTTATTTTCTTATTTTTAGATTTGCAGAAAACTTTTTTTTTTTAACAGAAAACTCTTTTTGTTTTCATGGACACAGTATGTCAGATCTCATCAGCACAATTGCATCACATATAAATTACCCAGATTAGGAAGGCCTTGAATTCCTACCAGTCCACAAGAATTTTGGCCCCTCAAAGGGTTCCCCACTTAGTTTCAGTTGTGCCCAGGTTTTTATATCACATCTATTCAAGAACAAGTGTTGGCCGGGCTAGTTGGCTCACGTCTGTAATCCCAGCACGTTGGTGGGAGGATGGGAGGATGGGGGTGGGGGATGAGGTGGGAGGATGGCTGGAGCCCAGGAGTTCCACTTAGTGACACCCTGTCTCTACAAAACAAACAAACAACGACAACAACAACAAAACTAGCCCAGCATGGTGTTGCATACCTATAGTCCCAGCTACCTGGGAGGCTGAGGCGGGAGGATCGCTTGAGCCCAGAAGTTCAAGACTGCCATGAGCTATAATTGCGCCACTGGGCTCCAATCTGGGTGACAGAGCAAGGCCTTGTCAAAAAAAAAAAAAAAAAAGACACCAAAAACCAGAAAAACCCCACGTCTTCCCTTTTTCCTCTCCCTTTCCTGTTGGAAGTGTCCCAGTCAGTGCTGCTGCCCAGGAAGGCAGTTAAAGGAGTCTCACTGCAGCACCGGGTGGCAGGGTGACAGTGTTCTTACAGCCCACAATGTCCGCACTGGGGGCACTGTCTGCCCAGGCTCCCCGGAGCACCCCTGGCAGGCCTGGCTGGGCAGTATGAGGACACACACGATGGCGGAAAGAATGGCTTTTCCCAGCTCGAGTGGCACTCTGTCACCTGTGCCCAGGTGGTTGTACTCATAGTACCACAAAGTCGCTCACGGAGATGTCCCTTCCATGGGCCTAAGGACTGATTTCCTGTGAGCATCTGCAAACCGCTGTGGCAGGCAACCAAGACATACAGCAGTTTTCAGGGGCACAGTTGTCTCACCCCATACCGAGGGGAGCAATCGCTGAATAAAGTCAGTTTCGCCTGTTCTTCCTCAGCCTCCCCAACCTGCAAATGAGGAGGGCCCCAGCCCGGTCCCTGTGCAAGCTGCTTCTCTCCTGCTTCGAGACTTCTGCTCACTCTCTAGGCGACACCGCCGGGCTTCACGCTTCGTATCCCTTCACTAGCTGGGTGACTCGAGCCAGAGAGCTCCCCCTGCACGTCTGCCCAGCCGCCGAATGTGCCTGCGTTCATCTGGCACACACATCTCAGCCTTAGCACGGCCCCCACGAATCCCGACGTTGCCACCCAAGCGGGCTCCGCTGGCGCCAGGTCCCATCTCAGGAAAAGGCAGGAGCGCGTCCCCCGACCGCTCCGTTTTGCGAAACCAAAGGCGGAGAGTGCTGGGGAGGACGCGGCAGCCGGGCCCCTCGCGCCTTGCGGGTGGGAATGTGGAGCTCCTTCGCAAAACTGGCTGGCCACCTCTTGTAAAGTTTAACAGACACACAGCAATGCTACCCCTGGGAGGTGTCCAGGAGAAGGGACAGCACAAACACAAAAGCCTGCATGCAGATAGTTATTAGGACAGCTTCATTCGTAATGATCAGCGGACACTGGAGACCACCCGAGGACGCCTGCAGCTGGCGAGGGGCGAGCAGGCCGCGCCGCCCGCGGAATTCTGCCTCGCGGCAACAAGGAGCAAAGTGCACGCAACACGGTGGGGCTCACGCGTCACGCTGCGTGAAAGATGCCGGGCTCCAAAGGCTACGTACTGTACGATGGCATTTGTAGGACATCCTGGGCAAGGCAAAACTGCAGGGACAGAGAGCAGATGTGTGGCAACCGGGGCTAGGACGGGGACGCAAAGGACCACAAAGGAGCACGTGGGGGGGGCTGGGGGGGGCTTTGGTAGCGAAGGACGCCGCGCTAGGTCTTGGTTGTGGTGGTTACACAGCCGCATGAGTTCATCAAAACCCAGAGGACTGTACACTCAAAATGGCGGATTTCCCTGTGTGTAAACTATACCTTCCTAAACCTGCTTCGAAACACACACCCGCTCCTTCTCTGGCTCTGCGTAATAGCCCCCCAACGGGTATCCGCTGACAGCCCGGCCAGTCTGTTCTCAGCACAGCGGCCAGAGTGGTTCTCCTAAAACCTAAGTCACTCTTCCTCTCGACACCCTCTGACAGCTCCCCATTTTACTCAGAGGAAATGACATCAGCTTTCTGGCATCCCTCTTCCCGCCCCCTCCCTGGTCACTGCACTTCAGCCACAGTGGCTTCCTAGCAGTTTTCTGGAGCACAGCAGGCGTGCTCCTGCCCCAGGGCCCTTGCACTTGCAGTTTCCTCTTCCCCCAGATGTCACCTGGCTCATCCTTCACTTCCTACAGATCTCTGCCCAAACGTCACCCTGTCACCATCCTGTTTACAATAGCATTTGTTCCCTCCCTCCCCCTAGCTGGCTTCCTTTCCTGCTTTTCCTTTCTAAGGGACCTTTGTTACTATTTGATATACTATGTATTTTCTTATTTATTTGTTTGTTGACTTCTCCCAAACATACACACCAGAAGTTAAGTTACTGTGCCCGAATTTGTCATATTCTTACTCTCTGTGCACTTGACCATCTTTCCCGAGAAACATTCCGAGTTTAGCAGGGTCAGACCTTTATCGTATTCACCGTGGTGCAGTGTTGGTGCAGCCAGCCAGGCTCACTGCCCACCGCTCAGGAGGAAGCCAGCGCACCGAGACAGCAGGAGTGACAGTGGAGAAAGAGCTTACTATCACAGGCAGCATGCGAGGAAACGGGAGGAATTTCTCAAATCCGTCTCCCCGAGAATTTGAGAGAAAGGGTTTCCAAAGACAGTTTGGCAGGCAAAGGGCTAGGCAGCTGGGTCTGGTGACTGTCTGGCATGAACTCACAGGGCGAGGAAGCATAAACTGTCTTCTTATGTTGAGTCAGGTCCCAGTTGGACCAGTTGGATCGCTGTTCTCGTTGGGTCAGCTGGTCCACGAGAATGCAGGGCCTGGAAGACACCTCAAAGGCCAGTTAGGTTTCACAAGGGTGATGTCGTCTATGGGAGCAATGAAGAAAGCTAAGAATCTTCATGCCCATCAGCTACGTGACTCCTGAGTCATGAGCAATTACAGGAAAGCCAGCTGGGGGACAATGGCTGGGGACACACACACACACGCACTGTGTCTATACCTTTGCAGAGTTCAGGTTCCTGCCACTGTCCCCACCTTATGGCCTTTTATTAATTTTATAAAAGGTGGTTTCAGCGCCCAGAAAAAGGGCCTGGAAGAATAGTAAGTGTTACTTAGTAAATGTTTCAAAAGTTAATGGTAATAAATAGCATCTATTTCATCAGTTTGGTTGACAATGTGGACATAGCTGTTTTGCTTTTCTAATTAATTCTCAGTTACCATATTCTCTCATTCGTAGAGATCATTTCTGTCTTGAGATCTTCCCACTTCATCCACGAAGTATCCAAGAATCCCAGAGGTTTACTCAGTCCAAAGGAACCAGTCCTAAGAGAACTGGAAAATTCCATGATTCCTTCAATTCAGTTCCATTGCTTTGGTCAACATCCAGTAGTGACACTGATGGACACTGGTCCCCACAGTCTGATAGACGCTCCCCCAGTGCACTGGTGACACCCTTGCTCACCTGGATCATGGCCAGCCCACCCTGCTCCCTTATGTGGAATCTGGGTTTGGTGGTCGTCAAAGTCATAACTCACAGGCCTTGTCATTATGTCCCATTATGCCTTTACTTTGAGATGTCCTGCCTCAGCAGGCCAAGCCAATGTATACCTTCCATGTATTGATTTATGATTTTACCTTCAATTCCTATCTCTCAAAATGTATAAAACCAGACTGTAGACTGTCTTCCTGGGGATCACTTACTCAGGGCTTCTCAGGTTTATGAATCTCTGGGCCATGGTCACTCATATTGGCTCAGAATAAACCTCTTTAAATTATTTTACAGAGTTTGGGTTTTTTCCCCCCCATTAATACCATGTATGAGTTACATCTTTCAAATTTCCTGTTCTGTGATTATAATGGCTCTAGGAAATGCTGTGGATATATACCTGTGTTGGCATTTTTTTTGCCTAACTTGTGTATCATGGCACATGGCCAAGAGATACTGGGTGTAAGCCACAAACCAGGAAGCTATGGTCATTTCACTGGGGACCCCATAAAGGCTTAATGACAGAGTTCCTTTTAGGCTGGCTCCTTTGTACTATGCAAATTTATATATGCCATCACTCGTATTTGCATATCAAAAGGTTCTACAGAAGGTCACCTCAGGCTTTAACAGTCCACAGATAAAAGGTCCCATCATATCATCACCCTAGACAAATGGTGCTCACTAACAATGAAGAAGGGCTGCTCATGTGATTCCAGATAATAAAAACCCTTCTCCAGTGACACAGTCTCCTGCTTGTAAACCTAGAGGAAGCATCATCATAGAGTTGACCTCGCTTACCTCAAAAGTTACAAAAGGAACACCTGGCAGTGTCACGCGCATTAATTTATATTTCATTATAACTGGGTGACTCAGAGACTGGCTATTTTCACTCTGGATTTTTGAGATCAATTACAGATTTTCTCCCCTGTATGTATCTCTAAAAGATAGGGGCATTACAGCAGTTCAAGACCAGTCTGAGCAATATAGCAAGACCCTGTCTCCACACAAAATTTTTTTTTTTTTTTTTTGAGACAGAGTCTCACTTTATTGCCCAGGCTAGAGTGAGTGCTGTGGCGTCAGCCTCGCTCACAGCAACCTCAAACTCCTGGCTCAAGCAATCCTCCTGCCTCAGCCTCCCAAGTAGCTGGGACTACAGGCATTCGCCACCATGCCCAGCTAATTTTTTGTATATATATATTAGTTGGCCAATTAATTTCTTTCTATTTATAGTAGAGACGGGGTCTCGCTCTTGCTCAGGCTGGTTTCAAACTCCTGACCTCGAGCAATCCGAGCCACCACGCCCGGCCTCCACACAAAAATTTTAAAAAAATAAACTGGGTATGGTGGTGTGTGCTTGTAGCTCCAGCTACTTGGGGGGCCGAGGTGGAAGGATCCCTTGAGCCCAGGAGCTTGAGGTTGCAGTGAGCTATGATGACATCACTGCACTCTAGCCCAGGCAACAGAGCAAGGCCCTGTCTAAAAAAAAAAAAAAAAAAAAAATTAAAAAAATCTACAGGCCAGGCGCGGTGGCTCACGCCTGTAATCCTAGCACTCTGGGAGGCCGAGGCGGGCGGGTTGCTTGAGGTCAGGAGTTCGAAACCAGCCTGAGCAAGAGCGAGACCCCGTCTCTACTATAAATAAAAAGAAACTAATTGGCCAACTAATATATATAGAAAAAATTAGCCGGGCATGGTGGCACATGCCTGTAGTCCCAGCTACTCAGGAGGCTGAGGCAGTAGGATTGTTTGAGCCCAAGAGTTTGAGGTTGCTGTGAGCTAGGCTGATGCCACGGCACTCACTCTAGCCTGGGCAACAAAGCAACACTCTGTCTCAAAAAAAAAAAAAAAAAAAATCTACAATACCATTATTATACTATACAAAACTAACAATTCATTAATAGCATCAAATATAATTAGTGTTCACATTTCACAATCCCAGATCATTTTATGTATTCCAATGTGTGTGAGTTTGAATCAGGATATAAATTGTTAAAGGATAATTTTTAAAAAGATAAAATCATGACTCATACAAATATAAATTGAACATGTGTCAATGTTTTTATTTAACTCAGTGAATGACAGAGCAAGTAAGATGTGGCAAGTAGTTCAAAACAGAATTCAGAGTAAATACATATACAGGCCATAAGGAATGTTGAAATTGATTTGCTTAATGGATGCAAAACTAGTTTGTTCCACTGTGGAGGAGGAAAATCCATTAAACTTCTAAAGACAAAAATCATTTGCAGGCTGGGCTCCGTGGGTCATGCCTGTAATCCTAGCACTCTGGGAGCCCAAGGCGGATAGATCACTCAAGGACAGGAGTTCGAAACCAGCCTGAGCAAGAGCGAGACCCTGTCTCTACTCAAAATAGAAAGAAATTAATTGGGCAACTAAAAATATATGGAAAAAATTAGCCGGGCATGGTGGTAAGTGCCTATAGTCCCAGCTACTCAAGAGGCTCAGGCAGGAGAATCGCTTGAGCCCAGAAGTTTGAGGTTGCTGTGAGCTAGGCTGATGCCATGGCACTCTAGCCCGGGCAACAGAGTGAGACTCTGTCTCGAAAAAAAAAATCATTTACAATTCTACAGACAAGAATAATTTGCATTCCTATCAGCTAGCTACAATTCAGAGAGTCTTAAACAGTTCAAAGGCAGGGTCCTACACAGAATCAGAAAACCTGCAGGAGTCTGCTAGGTAACCCCACTGAAGTTACCCAATAATCTTTCTGGTCCACTTTAAAGTCTGTCACAACTTTCCTTTACAAAATAAAGTTTACTTACTGCAGTTGATTGCTATATCTCTGAAGTTTCTTTTATTTTAGAGGTTCTCTCCCCATCTCTTTTTTTCTTGCCCCTTTTTGAGTAACGCTGGTCATTTGTCCTTTATTCTCACCATGTGGATTTCCTGACTGTATCCCCATGATGTCTCTAACTCGATGGTCTGTATGCAGGCTTCCTATAAGTCTGTAATTACATTTAGAGTCTTGAGCAAACTCAGGTTTTATTTTTCCAGAATGGTCTCCTATCAGGGGATACATAATGGCTGCTTGTCTCTGGGTGATGGGCGCTGTTGTTAAAAAATCATTGCTTCCTCAATTAATTCACCAGATTGCAACATGGTGATGTTCCTGCTTCCTTTATTATCTGGAATTCTTCCATAAGGACAAGCTTAGCTTCAACATCCACTGTCAACATAACGAGTTATTTGTGCAGCACACTCCAAAATGACGGATGAGGTCTTTTTCGCAGTATCATTATGAACACATGGGTTTATCTTTATTTGATGTATTTTGGTCACTGGAAGTTATTGCTCAGGCTGTCGCATCTTCAGCTCGCTGGCTCCCGAGAGGGACCACTCTCTTCCCGGGCGATGGCCCGAGGCCAATGAGCAGACGCGGTTGGGAGGCGCTCGCGGAACCCCGCAGGCGCACACCGGAAGCCCGCCGGAAACCCGCCGGAAACCCTCTGGGAGCCCACCGGAAGTCCACTGAACGCCCCTCCCCCTCCGAAAACTGCTGAAAACGGACGGGAAGGCGCCTCACGGCGCCTCCTGTCGGCGGAGTCGCCGGCAAAGCCGAAATGGGGTTTGCGGCGAGGCCACCTGAGCGTCTCCCGGCCGTGGCAGGATGGGTGGGTTTGGAGCTGAGAAGCGACTGTGAGGAGCCCAGGCTTGCGGCCCTACAGAGCCCCGGGCGCCTCGCGGAGTCCTCCCCGCCTTGGGGATTGGCTGCGGACCTGCCCTGGGCCTCCCCTGCTCCTGCCCCTCGAGTGGGGGCCGCAGGTTTTGAGTGGCGGGAGGGCGAAATCATACCTGGGAAACGTGTATTCTGAGTTGACCCTTCCTGGCCTGGAGGCTGAGCCCTCCCTGCGTTTGTTGCCATAGCAACAAACAGGGCTCCCTTGGGCTCCTGACGGGTAAATAGGGTTGGCCAGGGATGGGCTTTCCAGGAGCTGCAGAGTTTGCTCTGCTGAGAAGGCAGAGGTGGCCTCCGTCAGTCAGTCCCTGGCTGGTCTGTATGGAGACATCACATCTCCTGGCATGGGACGGGGACAAGAGGAGGGTTGGACCCCCCTTTAACCAGGAGCAGAGACTCCAGGTCTCCCGGGCAAAGTGGGTGGACTGGTGGTGGTCTCCTGCCTGCCTGTAGGATGGGTGAGGCTTCCACATCACAGCCTAGTGGGGTGGACTGGCCAGCTCCTCTGACCTCTGGCTCCTCAGAGAGACTGGCCTGAGGTGGGCCACGGCACCCCGGCCTCCTCTGATCCATCCCCTAAAATACACAGGACAGGAGCCCGAGCAGCGTCTAGGAGAGGGTGGGTTCTGCCGGGCACAGCCGGCTCCAGCGTGATTGCCACTATTAATGACCTGCCAACCCCTCCCTTGATGGCCATTCGAGGACTCTGAGCCCAGAGCGGCATCCACAGGGAAAGAGAGCCATGGGTCCGCGGGCAGGCTCTCTCCTGCTTCTGCTGCTGCAGCTGGCGCCAGGTGAGGGATGCTCCTCCGTCCCTGCCTGCCCCCGCCGCCGCTGGCCTGTGTGCTCCCCCTCTGCTCTCTTGTTTTCCAGGGGCCCGCGGGGATGAGCTGCCAACAGGTAAAGGGCCAGCCTTGGACATCCCAGCAGAGTTGAGGGCGGTGAGATGTCAGGAGGTTAGGGTACAGAGTGAGAGCACGGGGTGGGTCTGATGGCTGGGACGGGGGGGGAGAGAGCAGAAGCCCCTCACCTGCCAGTTCCTCCACAGAGTGCGGCCACTCTTCGAGTGCCGGGACGGCTGTGCATGGCCAAGACAACCCACTAGCACGTTGGCCATGGCAGGTTGGCGTGTGGATGTCCAAATGGGGGCACATGTGTGGGGGCACCCTCCTTCACCACAGCTGGGTGCTCTCGGCCGCCCATTGCTTCCTCAAGTGAGTGGGGCCAGGCTGGAGGGAGCCGGGCGCTCCACCTCCCCTCTGTCAGCACTGCCCTCAGCAGGCTGCGTCTCTGTCCCCTCCTAGGTCTTCGGACCCTAAGGCCTACACCGTTAAAATCGGAGGGCTGACAGTCTCCGCTTTGGAGCCTCACACTTTCATGGTGTCCGTGGAGAGTCTCTTCCTCCACCCCTCGTACCACAGAAGCAAGCTGTCCAGTGGAGACATCGCCCTGCTGCACCTGGCCACCCCCGTGCAGCTCTCCCTCTTCACCCCCATCTGCCTCCCAACACCTCAGGACTCCTTTGCCGTTGGGACCCTTTGCTGGGTAACAGGCTGGGGCTCCATCCTGCAGAGAGGTAAGGGGCATGTGTACACAGCCAGGCCTACTCCTGGCCATGCTGAGGCTCTCGGCCCTGGGAGCCCCACCTGTCTGTGCCCTGCCTGCTTGCTGTCCACCAAGGTCTGCATGTTCCTCTTCCCACCCCACCCCCACCCCTGAAGCTGGGAGCACTTGGGGCCAGGGACCTTGCTGTCCAAATTGTGGGACTCCTCTTGGCCAGCATGACCACCAGACGTGTTGGATCTGGGAGATCCTGTGCCAGTGTCCACGATTCGCCCACTGTTGGATGAATCTGCTGAGGCTGAGAGATTGTGAGATTAACCAGGGTCACATGGCTCCCAGGTGCAGGGTCTGGGCTTGACCCTGCTCCCTGACCCCCTTACCTCCTGGCTTTGCGTGCTGGGAGGGACAGGGAGGAGGTGGAGGTCCAGGCCACAGTGCTCACAGGTAGGGGAAGGGGGCTCACCTGGTAGGGGCGAGGCTCCAGGTGGACTCAGGCTGGACCCTTTGTCTGGTTCAGCCCTGTCAACTGTCCTTGAGGAAGTGGCTGTGCCGCTGCTGGACTCGAACATGTGCGAGCTGTTGTACCATCTCGGGGAGTCCAACCTGGTGGGGCAGCACCTCATCAAGGATGACATGCTGTGTGCTGGCTTTGTCGAGGGCAGGAAAGAGTCCTGTAAGGTGATGGCAACTTCTGGCCACCCTGTCCCCATCTGTGGGCTCCCCAGGCTCACCCTGTCCTGGGCTCTGTCCCTACATCCCACACGCCAGGGGTTCCAGAGGGGCCAGAGTCCTTGCCCAGCTCCCGTGGCCTCAGCAGCACATGCTCCCAGGTGAGTGGGACACAGGTGTCTTCTTCAACTCTCCCCCAGGGTGACTCCGGGGGACCGCTGGTCTGTGCCGTCAACAACACGTGGATCCAGGTTGGGATTGTGAGCTGGGGATTTGGCTGTATTTGGGCATACCGGCCTGGCGTCTACACCCGAGTGTCATCCTACACAGACTGGATTAAAAAAACCATGTCCGAGCATCAGTCAAGCGCCCCTGACCCCTTGTCAAGCACCTCTGAGTCCGGCCCAGGTGTCCCGGTGTCCCCCCCAGGCACCTCTGAGTCTGGCCCAGGTGTCCCGGAGGCCCCCCCAGGCGCCTCTGAGTCTGGCCTAGGTTTCCCGGGGTCCCCCCCAGGTGCCTCTGAGTCTGCCCCAGGTGGCCCAGTGCACCCCTCAGGCCCCTCTGAGTCCCACCCAGGTGCCTCAGAGTCCCACCCAGGTGCCTCAGAGTCCCACCCAGGTGCCTCGGAGTCCCACCCAGGTGCCTCGGAGTCCCACCCAGGTGCCTCGGAGTCCCATCCAGGTGCCTCGGAGTCCCACCCAGGTGCCTCGGAGTCCCACCCAGGTGCCTCGGAGTCCCACCCAGGTGCCTCGGAGTCCCACCCAGGTGCCTCGGAGTCCCACCCAGGCGCCTCAGAGTCCCACCCAGGGAGCCCCGAGTCCCACCCAGGGAGCCCCGCGTCCCACCCAGGCTCCACAGGGTCTGCCCCAGGCCCCCCTGGGGCCTGCCCAGCGCTGCTGCCCGTGCTGTGGGCCGTCCCCTCGCTCGGGGTCCCCTGAGCCAAGCCTCCTCCTGGTGGGGTTTGTTGAATCTAATAATAAAAGATGCAGGTTATGTAATTTATATGTATTTGCTTTTCTCTCCCATTTTTCTAGTAATTCGTTTTTGCTGTATTTTATAAACATAACTGACCATGGCAGCTTGGGAAAACATAGTCCTTCACAGAGTTTGCAGAGCCTTGTCACAAACAAATGTGACCTGTGTTTCCTCTGTATGTCTTCGTAGTTAGGCCACTGTGTGCTCCCTCGCTCTCCCAAAAGTGCCTCAAAAGCGGATGATGAGTTAAACTGTCATCATGACTCAGCCGACCGGGAGCCCACGCCCTTGCAGCCCACAGGATTTTCAGTCTCGGGCATCCTCAGTGGACATGGCCCTCAGTGGCAGATGAAGGGCCTTGCTCCCCAGCTCTGGCCAGCGGCGCGTCCGCAGCCCCTGCCCCGCTGTGCCTACCAGGCTGCCCTGGGCGTCCACAGGGACCCTGGGGCCGTGCTGGCCCTCCCCAGCACGGTGCACAGCGCCCTCTGGCTGCCGCAGAGCCGCACAGCACTTGCAGGACGGGGAACGTTGAGGAATTTCCATCCTCTTGGTCCCAGTTGAATAAACTCCCACCACCTCCATGAGACCCCTGGTGAGCGGCTGTCGGGGGACGACCACCCGCTGGCCTGGTCGTAATCCGGAACCCAGGACCTGTGCCCGGCGGCCTCAGCGCTGGTCTCAGCGGCACTCTCCACCTGTCAGGCTGTCTGGAACCCTCCACGGAGGGGGCTGCAGGCGGCCCAGGCTCAAAGCCCAGTGCGGCATAGGGGAGGGGCGGTAGGTCTGTCACCTGGAGCCTCTGCCTCCCTGGGACAGGCAGCCACAAGGCCTCTTGGTTGTGTCTGGGAGAAAATTTAGATCACGTATTGCCCGAGAAGACAAGATGCTCTAGAGTCATTCGTTCCTTTTCCTGCGGTTCCTCTTTACAGAGTCCCCAGGGGAGCGCCCTGTCCCCTCCGTTGGCGCCCCTCCCTCTCCTTCAGGCACTTGGCCTCCCAGGTGAAGTTTCCGGCCTTTCAGAGTATTTGCCGTGTCCAATAACTTTCTCTTGCGAGTAAATTTCATGTGTCCCTTTGCTGATGAATTCTCCAGCTCTCTGCTCGGCAGTAACCCCTCCCAGAAATCAGTGAGGAGGGCAGGGTAGTGGATTAAACCAAAATCCAAAACTCAGTTCTTTTGCATTTCCGTTTAGCATTTTATGGCTGGCAAACGTCCTGAGTCCCAACCACTAGGACATCTCAGAAATGCCACCCCTCTCCTTAAGCCACCAGGCCCTTCCATCCCTCCCTAAATGACCAATGGCCAGAGTCTCTGTGTCATGCAGCCTGCTCCGGGACCCGGGCCCACAGGGACGCTGCCTGCCCAGGCTGTGCCTGTGAGTCCCTGTGTCTGTCTGTGTGTAGGGTGTATGTGTGTGTTTGCGTGTGTCTTTGTGTGTTTGTGTATGTCTGTCTGTATCTGTGTGCGGGGGTGTGTACGTGTGTGGGTGTGTGTGTCTGTGTGCGGCGACTGTGTTTCTCAGGCCCCCGCATTGCCCGTAGCACACGACCCCCACCCCCAGGGGAGGCTCGGAGGCCGCCTCCTGCAGAGGCTGGGCGGAGGAAGAGTCTGAAGCGGCAGCAGAGCCCGCCCCGCTTCCCGCCTGCCCTGCTGCGCACACAGCCCCCTTTGTCTCCTCTCCCGCGGCCCCTCTGCAGTGCTGTTTGTGGAGGATCTAGAAGACTGGCGGTTCTGGTTATAAAGCCGTGGTCCCTGGCCTTTTTGGCACCACGGACTGGTTCATGGGAGACAATTTTTCCACGGGTGGCAGTGCAGGGGGGTGGGGAAAGGTGGGGGAGGGAGGCAGAGCTCAGGCGGTGGCGCATGGCCTGTGTTACCTACAGGCCACGGACCGACTGGTACCGGCCGCGGCCAGGGCTGGAGACAGCAGTTAGAACGCACCTCCCACCTGGGCCTTATTGCAACAGACCAAGAGGCTTCTCCTGGTGCCTGGTGTGGGCGGTGCAGGTGCGGGGCCAGGTGTGGGGCCAGGTGCGGGGCCAGGGTGGGGCTGGCACACTGCACCGCCTCGGGCAGCTCCTCTCGGCGCCCAGCTGCCCGCCCGACCACATGGCAGCCACACTAAGTTTCTGTCAAGGGCACCCAGCTCGCTGGCTGGCCTGTCCGTGTGCCAGGTGGCCTCCAACAGGCCCTGGGACAATGACATTGTTCAGGGACAGGCTGGGGCAGGAGCCACACAGTTCAATGTTGTGTAAGAGGAAATAATTCGTGGCCATCGCATAAATGTTCCTTCAGAGTTGAGCCAGTACATGGATGAGGAAGTGGTACGATTGACTCAGATGTTCCGGAAGGCTGACAGGCTGCCTGGGTCCAAAGGCCACAGTCTCCCAGGGAATGTTTGGCCAAGGATGGGGAGCAGGAGCACAGGTGGGAGCCAGTGCAGGGGAGCAGTCCCTCCCTCTGCCTGGAGCTCAGGGTGCGTGGTCAGCACCCGCCTCCCCTCTGCATGCACGGTGAGGAATTCACAGGCTGCGGCGGACCTGCTGCTGCACCGCATGTGCTGGGGCCCCGGTTTCCAGAGCAAGAGAACCCCACATGTGCGTGCTAAAGTAGCTGGGCACTTGGGGCACAGGGACACTCAGGAGAGGACATCCTCTCCCTGGGGTAGGGGGCGGGGCCGGGCCAACACGTGAGCAGGGAGTGGCAAGTGGACTGTGGGATTCAAGTTTAAACTTCATGACTCACCTCTCTCAGCCTGGGCTTCCTCATCTGCAAAATGGGAGATTAATACCAAGGGTGTTTGTGATGATTAAACGAGGTATCAATTGTGCAAGCACCTAGTATAGGGCCTGGTCCAAAATTGGTACACAATGAATGCTAGTGTGTTTTTCCTTCCATTTATTTACCCACCCACCCATCCATCCATGCACCTGCCTACCACCTAACTACCTACCCATCCATTCATCCACTTACTCACCCACCCACCCATCCATGCACCTGCCTACCACCTACCTACCTACCCATCCATTCGTCCACTTACCCACCCATCCATCCATTCATGCACCTGCCTGCCACCAACCCACCTACCCACCCATCCATCCATGCACCTGCCTACCACCTACCCACCTCCCACCCATCCATCCGTGCACCTACCTACCACCTACCTACCTACCTACACACGCATCCATCCATCCATCCACCCACCCACCCATCTATCCATCCACCCACCCACCCACCTACCACCTACCTATCTACCTACCCACCCATCCATCCGTCCATCCATCCATACATCCGCCTGCCCACCACCACCTACCTACCTATCCATCCATCCATCCATCCTTCCATCCACTCACCAGGAAAATGACCCTGATCACAGTGGACTAGTGGGCCCTGATCACCAGCTCACTAGTAGACTAGCACACATACTCAAACCACTTCAGCAGAAACCAATTTCCACAAGCAGTTCTTGGCACCCAGTCCCTTTCATCAAATAATTTTTCGTTATTGTCCAAACCTCCCCCTTTACAACCCTCCCCCAGCCCTCTCAACCCTCAGTTCCAAACGTGGTCCCATAGAAGCACGGAGGTCTGGCTTCTCTGGTCTCTTCTTGTGTCTTGCAATTTGCCCTGGACAACTTTTGGATGCCTCCTCCTGTCCTCAGAGAGACTCTTTCTCCCCTAAAGCCAACTTCAGTGGCTAGATGTCCTTTTTATTAACTTTTAACGCTTTTATAGGTCTAAAATCCATTCTAAAATACTGGAAATAGATATGTCAAAATGTCAACAATGAGTATCTCTGGGTAGAGGGAATTCTTTTTAAATTTAGCCATCTTTCCTAAACTTTCTGCAGTATACACATGCATGACTTTTGTCATTGGAAACATAATATTTAAAAATGATACTTCATAAATATTTCAATTTCTATTACCTCTCCTCTCCTCTATCAAAGCTTCTTTTCCTATTTTACCAACTTTGGGAATGTTTTTAGCCCATTCATTGAATGAGTTTCATGCCCTTTAGTTCAAGGAGGTAGGGACATTTCTAGCTTCAAGTCAGAAAACAAAGACCTTCAGAGAAAGTCCGGACTGCAGGCACACCAGTCTGCGCGTCTCTGTTTTCTGGCCGTGAGGCTGACGGTGAGCCCGGGTAGGAGGCTGACGGTGAGCCCGGGTAGGGGCCTGACAGTGAAGACCCTGCTTATGTTGCGCGGTGTGCGGCCTTTAGACCTTTCTTTGCCCACTATACCAAGATAACAGCCGGGAGGAAAACGATTTTAATATTAAAGAAAAATCAAACAGCTGGGCAAATGATTTGGGGAGGTGCTTCACAAAGGAAGAAATACGAAGTGAACGAGGCACACACGAAAACTTACTCCACCTTGTTAGCTACCAGAACGTCCCTCTTAGAAAGAAGAGCAAAGCTACTGCTGGCAAGGACACGGGCAGCGAGCAGGACTGCAAAAGGGGACAGTCGCTTTGGGAGGCTGCTTGGCAGTTTCTTATGGACTTGCACACACACTCCCCCATGTGAGTCGTCAGCTCCGCGTCTAGACATTTATCCAGGAGGGATGAAAACTCTCTGTGTCTACCCAGAGCCTCAGGTACAAATGTTCATAGGAGCTCCATTCATCATGGCCCCAAACAGACAGCCCGGAGGTTCACCCACTGGTGAGTGGGTAAGTAAGGTGAGATCTAAGTAAAAGGAAGTGCTGCTCAGTCAGAGAAAGGAACAGACGACGGAACTGCAAATAACACAGCTGAACCTCGAAACAGCATGCTGAACGCAGTCAGCAGGTGTGTGCCGCCTGGTTTCGTTTATGTGAGACTTAAGAAAAGGCAACTCGAGTTGATACTGACAGAAAGCACGTCGGTGCTTGCCTGGAACTCAGTGTGGGGAGACTTCAAGTCAAGGGGACAATTTTCGGGGTGATGGAAACTTTCTATGCTTTGCTGGCGGTGGTTACGGAGGTCTATACATTTTTTAAAAGTTATCAAACTGCAGAGAAAACACAGATGCATGTTATTGTACGCAAGTCGACCTCAGTAAAGTCTATTAAAACTCACAACAAGAAAACTAGGACAGAGGGCAGTTGAATATCAAAGCTCCGTAGAAAGTAGGATGGCCTAACCTTTGAGAGCTAGACAGAACTATAAAGACGTGAACAGATCTGGTACATAAAATTGAAAACTTCTACTTGCAGAAATATTTTAAGGGGAAATAAAACGTGAGATGAAATGTTCGGAGTGACTGCTCACAGGTGCAGGGCTTCCCACTGGACAATGACAAAGTCTGGGGAACAGGTGGCGGCGGTGCCCGCTCATCACTGCCTGTGTGCCTAAGGCCGCTGAATTGTACACTTTAACATGGTTTAAATGTTAAATTTTATGTTATGTGTATTCTACCGTAATAAAAAATATTTTCTAACCTATCACGACATATAAATTGATACAGAAAAAACCATAGTGCCCCTCTGTAGCTGGGTAACCCCAGAGAGAGTGGGGGCCGGGGCTGGCCAGGGAGGAAGCTCGGGGGAAACAAGGCTCTCCCGCAGCGCTGCCTACTGAAGTCTGGGGCGAGGGAATTCTTCCCTGGAGGGGAGGGTGGGGGACTGTCCCGTGATAGACACTTAGCAGCATCCCAGGCCCCCACCGGCGAGAGTCCAGTAACACCCAGCCCCCAGCGTGACAGCCAAACGCGTCTCCAGACCTGGCCCGGTGTTCCCTGGGAAGCCCCGGTGAGGACTGATGTTCTGATCCAAGGGGGGTGGTCCCCCACCTTGGGAAAATTTGTGGCTCCCCAAATAAAACCAAGTTCAGATCCCTTTGGCCCGAAGGTCTCCTGGGGCCGTGGTCCTGAGGACCGCCACGCGCCCCGCCCGGCCGAGAGCCGCCGGGCCTCCCGCAAGGGCAGCCACGGGTGTTCTGACCTCGCCAGCTGCAGCCGGCGGGGAGAAGCCGCCAACCAACCGCTGGGCAGGTGTCTCCAGCCCCTGACGGAGACCCAGCCCTGGGGGACACAGACCCCTCTGGCCCGCGGAGACCAGGCAGCTGTGGGCTCCAGCACCTTCCTCTGTGATTGCCGGTGCCAGACTGCCCTGGCGTGTGTCTGTGGCCGCGCCCCGCTCCCCTCTGCCGCCTCCTCTTAGTTTGCGGTGGGACCAAACAGAGTGACTGTACCGTTCCTGGTCTTGGGATTGACATGTGGTAATGACAAGAAAAGTGTGCCTCCTGGACCCCCAGGGGAGCCCCTGGACCCCCGGCCCTCCCGCCCCCTGAAAGCATTCCTGTTGGCTCACTTTCCTGCTCGTCTAGCCCTGGACTCAAACCTGCGCCCTCCCTCCCAGCTGCTCTGGCCTGAGCTGAGCATCCTGCATCCCCTTGGGGGGCCTGCAGGGACACAGGCTCAGGAAAGGGGTGCAAGTCCTCCAGGAGGCTGGAGTGTGGGGCCTCTAAAGGAGCTCCCTTCTCGGGGTCTTCTGGCTGCCTTGGGGCTCGTTGGTAGTGAGTGACAGAAACCTACTCAAGGGAGCTGAAAAGACTCCGTCTTCACCCGGCCGTGGTGTGTCACCCGGACTTAAGTGATCCTTCTGCCTCAGCCTCCCAAGTAGCTGGGACTACAGGCATGCGCCACCATGCCCCCAGCTAATTTTTTCCATATATTTTTAGTTGGTCAATAATTTCTTTCTATTTTAGTAGAGACGGGGTCTCACTCTTGCTCAGATTGATTTTGAACTCCTGACCTTGAGGGATCCTCCCACCTTGGCCTCCCAGAGTGCTGGGATCACTGGTGTGAGCCAGCGCGCCCGGCCTGAAAGTTCTCTTTCAGCAAGCTGGGGCCAGGAAATTAAGTAAGCCTCAGAACGTGTCCTCTAGCCTTAAGGAGCAGCTGAGAAGGTCAGATGGGAGGTCCCCTGTGCACCCCAGTGACTCGTCATCCCTCATGCAGGGAGGAAAGGGGTTTCTCCTCCTTCCGGGCTCCTGCAGATACACTTATCAAAGTGTTTTCTTAAATGTGTCCTATGCCTGTGCTTTGATCATTGACACACTCAATGGCAAGTCTGAAAACAGTCATTACTCTGAACTCGTGACGGGCGTAGGTTTCAGGATGTCTGTGACAACTGTAACTGACACGGCAAGTTCACAGGTGCCATGTCCGGCAGAGGACAGTAAGAACAAAGAGGTCATTGTTTTTTACACAACCCAATTTGGGAATCCCTGAAGTTCGTCCACAGACCTGAGGCTAAGAAGGAACTCTCCAGCAGCCTTTAGCACTAAATAGAAACACACCCAGCAGAGAAGAGAATGTCAGTGTGAATCTCACGCAGAAAGATGAGGATTGGTTGTGAAATCTTTGCCCCAGCCTGGGGATCAGGGCCCAGACTTTGCAGCTAGACCCCTTCAAGTGGAACCTCCTCAGCCACATACCGCTGTGTGGGACAAGTCACCTGGCTCTCTGTGCCTCAGTTTCCTCATTGTGCAAATGGGGACAATGGAAGTCTGACCCCTATATTATTGTGAGGAGAGACGTCGGGTGGGGCCCCTGGAAGTGGGCCTGGCACGTCCCTGGTCACCGAGGGTTTGGCTGCGGCATTGGACGGCTGTGTTTCCGGCATCACCAATGCAGTGAATGTCTTCCCTCAAGTCATGAGGCTTCAAAATGGTTTGAAGCCTCATCCCTGGAGGACCCCGGCCTCAGGCCTTGCCAAGTCCTGACATGGGATTTGAGGTTTGGGAAGGGGGATAGGAAGAGTGGGCCAGGTCCAGGCCTTTGTTAGTTTCCTGTGCCGCAGTAGGAAATGACCATGCTTTGAGGGGCTCTGTCCCCAGCTGTCTCTGGCTCTGGCCTTAACCCAGAGATTCCTCAGGCTGGAACGTCCTCCTCCCCTTGTTTTCACTCCACCAATTCTCCCTCATCCTTTAAGATTTAGCTCAGACAGCGCCTCCTCCAGGAAGACTTCCCTGAAGCACGCCCCGGCTGCCTCACCTCTGGGCAGGTGCCTGCGAACAGCCCCCGCACGTGCACCCATCAGTGCAGGTGCTACTGGGACCTGCCACCATCTGCTTCTGCATCTGCCCCATGGGGCAGCCAGGTCCGAAGCCGCACACCTGGCCCCGTCTGTGCACCCCAGGGCCTGGGAGCCCGGTGTAGACACCCTTGGCAAATGACCGCTGCGTGAATGGGTGAACCAGGGGCTGCCCTGAGGCCCCGTGGCCGCTCAGACAAGCCTGGCACTGAGCCCGGCCAGGAGAGGCAGCGGATGGGCCTGGGGGATGGGGCAGTGGAGGCCTTGGAGGCAGAGTCCTCAACCACCGTGGGGTCAGGGCGCGGCCTCTGCGGGCCGCCTCTCGTCTTTGGCGGAGTCCCCTCTGCCTCACCCCTCAGCTTGCTTCTTTGGGCTGCAGCCCGGGGGCTTCGTGCCCCAGAGGCGGGAAGGCTTGGGTGCTATTGGTGGTGCCCAGGAGCCAAGCACCACACTGGACGCACTGTCCCTGCAGAAGCTTTATTGATTGGAGCGTCACCGTTACCCCAGGACTGTTAGCCCACCACACCCCAGCTGGCTGCAGTGTTAGTGAACTTGCACACTGCCCTGTAACTATTTCCTACCAGATTGGGTAGCTGGTGCTACAGTGGAGTCCTCCACTAGCGGATAATCCCAGGTAAAACCAATGGCCTTGAGGCCGAGGAGTCCGTACTGGCCAAAGATGCCCGTGAGCACCTGTCCCTCTTGGCTGGGGAAGGCAGAGAACTGCTTGCCAGCGTTCTTCCCAAAGGAGACGCAGCCTCTCACGTCAGTGCACACGACCAGGTAGTGGATTAACATGTCAAATGCGCCGTGGATCTCGGTGATGTGTTCTCCCTGCCACAGGAGGAGCTCCTGGCTCGTCCCACCCGAGGCGCCACGACGATCATCCCAGCTGTCTCCAAATTTCACCTGGATACTGCGAGGGAGGTGAAGCTTGAAGCCCTGCCATCGGGGTGACCCAGCCCCTCCCAGGGCTTGCGTGCCCCACCCTCCCCTCCTGACACAGGGACAGCAGCCCTGGCAGAGTGGGGTCCCCAGATAGACCTGCTGGCCTCAAGCCCTTTCCCTGCCACTGTCAGGCCCGTGACCTTGAGCTGGTCACCAGGCTGTGCCGGGCTCGGCTCCTCATGTGCAGAGCGGGAGCGGTTGTTGGGGGGTTGCCCAGATCATGGTAGGAGAGGCCGGGTGGATGAGGTTGTCACGGCCCTCAGGAGGGGCCACAGCCGTCCCCACGGCTCACAGCGGGGCTGTCCCTGGCCAAGCTGGGGCTCCTGAGCCCAAGTCACCCCCGAAGGAGCAGCTCCCGGGGCTGACGAGCAGCTGACTTCCCACACTCTCCCGCCCACCCAGCTGGGCGTCTCTGTCCCTCCCTGCCTGGGTGTTGTCCTGGACACCCCTCCCCCGTGGCCCCACCCGCATGTCCCCCTCTGCTGTTGGGCCCTTCTCCCCCTGCCCTCTCCCGGGACCCCAGCACCCCTCAGTGCAGAGCATAGATCCACGCCAGGCCTTGAGCAGGGACATCTCAATATGAGGGGAATGCCCGGGCTTTCTGCCTCTAACAATTGTGCTGAGGCGTGCTCAATCAGTGGTCCACTCTGACCCTCAACTCCTGTGTTCTTTACCTTCCCTTGATGTTCTCATCAGCCATTGGGCCTGGGAGGCCATTTCTGCTCGAGTGCAGCGTGGTCAGAAAGCAAATGGCTGGGAACGGACACTTCGCCCTCCCAGACCAGCTCAGGGAGCAGGGGCAGGATATACAGGGGAGCCGGAGGGAGGGGGCAGGTGAGGGGAGAGGAGGTGGCTGAGGAACAGGGACACATGGAAGGGAGGTGTCCGGGGGCTCCAAGGGCCCAGCTGGCCTCACGGAGTCCCAGGGGCCAGGCAGGGCGTTGCCAGGCTCTGGCTGCATTGGGACGGGGTGTCGCACTGTGGCCTGGAGCCCACTCACGCTCTGATGTTGTTAATGGCACCAAAAAACACCCGCAGCCCTGTGATTTCAAGATCGTAGTTTTCAGAGGTGCTGAAATAGGTGCCTCCACCGTTCCCGTACTGCTCTGCAGGATGAGAGAAACGGGAGGGAAGCCCACTCAGGGATGGGCAGGCGGCCTTGCAGCACAGAGGACATGCCCCTCCGGACAGACAGGGTGGTCTGGGACCAGAGTCCCCCCGTGACAAGGCTGGGATGAGTCGGGACTTACGGGCGGCCCAGCAGGGGCGGCTCCCCAGGAGTGCGATTGTCAGCAGCAGCAGCATGGCCTGTGGCGCGTCCGGGGCTCTGGGGGGAAGAGGAGAGGCCTCCCGACTCCCACTGGGACAGTCTGCACCAGGGACTCTTGCTGTGGCTGGGCGCCCTCCACCTGGCCTTTATACCCTCCGAGCGCCGTGGCCCCGGTCCAGGAGGAAGGAGCGAGGGGCCACCAGGGCCAGGAAGGGGCTGGCGGCGGGGCTCTTCCTGGGGGAGGCTCCCGGTCGCGCAGTGTTTGCTGTCCTGGCCCCGCAGCCTACACAAACAGCACTGGGGACAGTGACAGGCATTTCTCGGTCATCTCTGGATTCCCTATTGTCAGCACTTGCACATGCCTTTTCTGCAGAGGTGGGGAGAGCTTTGCTCAGAGTCTTCTCCAGCTCAGCCAGACAGGAGTCAACCGGGCGGGGGAGGCCAGGTGCCCACGGATGCTCCGCCACGGGCAGACCTGGCCTCAGGCCCCTCTGGGCCCAGGCAGCTTCTGGCATTTTCCAGGCTTTCTGGGGCCCAGCCGACTTCCCTGCTGACCCCGGGAGCCAGGGTGGACAGTCCAGTTCCTTGTGCCCTAAGCAGGGGGTCAGGGGCGCCGCAGACGTCTGCTGGGCCTGCATGTGCTGTCCGCGGAAGGTGGCCGTGGTCCCTGCTGTGCGCGGGGTGCGGGCGTAGGGGGGGTTGACCCGGGTTTGTTGGGTTCCCGGGCCCGGGGGGGGAGGGCCGGCAAGGTTGCGTTTGTTGGCTTGCCGGGGGGCGGGGGTTTTGGGGGGGGCCCTTTTCCGGGCCGGGCTTTTTGGGGGGGCTTTTGGCCGGGCGGGGGGCGGCTTTCCTTGGGGGTTGGTTGGGGCCCTGGGGGGAGCCCTGGGAGGGAGCCCTGTGCGGTGGACGGGGACCCCTGTTTGCATGAGCCCCTCGTGTGCAGATGTTTCATCCCAAGGATTTTGAAGGAACCGAAGCCACCCGTCTGGGAAGGAACGGGGTCTGGGGAAGCGGTCGGCTTGTAGGGTAAGGATGGGGGAGAAGGGACAAAGGCCCTGGGACACCCACCCAGAGCAGGTGGAGGGACCGAGAGCAGCAGTGGGGGTCCATGCGTGTCCTGTGCACACCTGGTGGGACGTGGTGGCTGAAGCCCGGGCTGTGCCGGGGGACGGCCCGGGCGGGCGTTACCAGCACAGCGCGGAGCCGCACTCCGCCCAGGCCCGGCCTCGCCCCCGCTGGGGAGACTCAGGCGCTGGGGGGACTCAGGCGCTGGTGGGACTCGTGTGCTGGGGGGGGACTCGGGCACTGGCTTTCCCGCTCTGTGCTGTGACAGCCTCACCTGCTCTACCTGGATCAGCCTAGAGGCCCACACCGGGCTGCCATCTCCGTGGAAGGGCCGGTCACCCGTAGCTTGACCTTACGCCGTGCGGGCAGGTGCGCTACGTTCTTCTCTGGAAAGAGCAACGATTAGAGACACCGGACGTGCCCACCTGGAGACACGTGCACCGCGGGGGTCCTCGCCGGGTCCTGTGGGGTGGGGTCGCAGGCGGGCTCCCGCTGCAGGGGCCTGGCCCGAGGGCAGCAGGCTGGGGCAGCCGCGTGTCCAGACACCCACGTGCGTGGAGGAAAGGGGGTGCAGAGAGCGACGGGGTGTGCGCAGCCCACCCTGTGAGTGCGGCTCACGGGAACAGGGGACGCCGGGCTGAGGGGACGACAGTGGGGGACGGCAGGTGGGGACTCCCATTACCTGCGCCAGGTGCCTGCGCCGGGGCGGGGACTCTGTGGCTGAAGGCCAGACCGGCCTCTGCCCGCACCACACGGCAGGAGCCAAGCGTGCGTTTCACATGTTGAACTGTTAGACACAATTGGACACCAATGTTTATGAGAGATGACAATCCTTCGAGATTCGGATGCGGGTGTTCACAGGCAATGCCGCCCTCGGCCACGTGCCTTCAGCGCCTGGCGAGGTCTCGGGAGGAGCCTCCTTCGTGGAGGGGCCCAAGCCCTTGGCCAGTGCAGCCCTGGAGCGGGAGCCAAAGCCGGAGGCGCCTCAAAGGGGCTTGTCCTCGCCCCAGCCCAGCCCGCGGGCACTTTTCCTGGTGTTGCTGCCAGCTCCGTCCCTTCTTTCTTGCTCCAGGCTGGCAGGGTCGGTGCCCACAAGAAGTGTCCCTGTGGCTGGGGTGGCTGGGCCGGAGGAACAGACCGAGGCAGCCCGGCCCGTGGAATCCGGCCCTTGCCCAAGCGCACGCTGGGGCGCATTTTCAGAGCACACCAGGCGGCGAGCACAGATGCGCCTCCACACACGTGTGGAACACGCACGATGCACACGTGAGGGCCCCCCAAACACGCACGCTGCCCCGCGTCCCACACGGGAGCCGCAGACGCGCATCACTCCCGCGCCCTGCGTGCAGGGGGCTGGGGGTGGCCCACCTGCTGGGAGGTCCCGGTCCTGCAGAACCCTGCCCCTCCCTCTCTGTCCACCCTGGCCCAGTGCTGGCCCTGAGCCACGCCCGGGGACACTCAACACAGGCCCTTTGTCCCTTGGGTTCAAGGCTCTCCAAGAGGGGATTTACTGAGCATTTATTTCCTGGCCCGGACACGCCCCAGTCCCACCTCTGCCAGGAAACTGGACAATGAGGCCTTCCCCTGCCAGCAGTGGTGGGCCCTGTGCTGGCCGGCCCTGGTGTCAGGGGTGGGGTTAGGGCCACAGGCCCCTGGGCCCCCTGCCCTCCACGTGTGGGGCTTGGAAGCGCCTCTGCGGCCTGGGCCTCAGCAGACAGAGTGTGTCCATCTGCAGCGCCCTCAGAGCCAGGGCCTCTCGGGAAGGCCCAGCCTCAGAAGGATGGAGGAGCCTGTGCCCCTGGCTCAGGTCTGGGCCAGGCCTGGCCTGGCTGTGGCTCCTGGGGCAGGGCCCGAGCTGGCCCCTCCACGTGGCCTAGGGGATCCCTGGAGCCTGGGGGACGGGAGGGCAGAGCCTGCCTGGGGGAGGGAGCAGTCAGAGCGGAGGGGCGTTTCTGTCCCCTTCCAGGGAAGGCCCCCAGCTGCCAGGAAGGAGCCCCCCTAAGGGGAAGGCACGGGACAATTGGGGTGTCATTCCTGAAACACTCAGTGCTCCCAGCCCCCTCCACTCACTGGGACTCTGATCGGTGCTGCGCTCCGTGCTAAGCGTCGTGTCTGCACACACTTCTCCCCAGAGAAACTCAGCACTCGTACTGGAACACCCGGACACCTAGCCGCCTATTGTCCATCTGTGACTTTGATTACTCTCAGCGCCTTGTGTAAGTGGAATCTTACAGTACTTCCATCCTTGGACTGGCTCATTCCACTCAGTGTGCTCAAGGTTCAGTCGTGTCATAGCATGTGCCAAAATTTCCTTCCTTTCCAAGGCTCAACAATATTCCATTGTTCGTGCATAACACAATCCACTCATCCGTCCAGGGGCACTTGGGCTGTGTCCACGTTCCGGCGGCTGTGAGTGACACCACTGTGAAGACGGGATGCAATGACCTCTTCCCAACCCTGGTTCCAGTAGGGTGTGGACTCAGACAGGGATTGCTGTACCCTGTGGGAATTATTCTATGTTTAATTTTTTGAGGAAGTGCCATACTGTTTTCCATAGAAACGACAGCAGTTTACATTCCCACCAATAGTGAACAAGGGTTCCAATTTCTCCACATCCTACCAAGACTTGTTATTTTCTGTTTCCATTTTTGTAACCTTCCCAGTGGGTATGAGGTGGTAGCTCACTGTAGTTTGGATTTGCATTTATTAATGATTGGGTTGGGCACCTCTTCATGTGCTTTTGGGCCACTTGTATATCTTCAGAAAAATTCTACTCAGGTTGTTTCTCCGTTTTTGAATGAGGTTGTTTTGTTGTTGTTGGTTGAGTGTTAGGAGTTTTCTGTATACCCTGGGTATCAATCCCTATCAGAAGTTTGATTTGCAAATATTCTCTCCCATTTTATGCTGTTCTGATGCACCAAATGCCTCCATTTTCATGACGTATAATTTGTCTATTTTTTTCTTTTGTTGCCTGAGCCTTTGCTGTCATGCCTAAGAAGTCACTGCCAAATCCAACATCGTGAAGCTTTTGCCCTATGTTTTCTTCTAAGACTTTTGTAGTTTTAGGTCTTACATATAGGTCTTTGATCTGTTTTGCTGTGAGGTTGGGGTCCAGTGTCGTTACTTTGCATGTGGATGTTCAGCGTTCCCAGCACCATTTGGTGAAAAGCCTGTCCTTTCCCCATGGAGTGGTCTTGTCCAGTCATTTGGCCTCACGTGCGAGGGTTTATTTCCAGGCTCTCTGTTCTACTCCATCGGTCCGTGTGTCTGTACTTTTGCCAGGACCACGCTGTTTTGATACCATAGGTTTTTACCTAGTTTTGAAATGAGGAAGCCTGAGTCCTCTGTCTTTGTCCTTTTTCAAGATTGCTTTACTATTCGGGGCCCTTGAGATTCCGTATGAATTTAAGGATGGGCTTCTGCTTTCTGCAAAATGACCCACTGGAATTTTGATGAGGATTGCAGTGAATCTGCCATCGGATTCGGCGGCATTGACACCTCAACAATAGCAAGGCTTCTGATTCATTAGCATGAGATGTATGTCCTTTTATTTTGATGTCTTCTTTCATTTCTTTCTGCAACATTTTATAATCTTCATTGTACAAATTTTTCATCTCCTTGGTGTGATTAGTTCCTGAGTATATAATTCTTTTTGGTGCTATGATACATGGAATCGTTTGTGTAATTTCCCTCTTAGTTTTCCTTGTTAGTGAGTACAAATGCAAGTGATTTCTGTGTGTTCACTTTGTATCTATCCACATTGCTGAATGTATTTATTAGTTCGAACAGATTTTTAGGTGGAGTCTTTATCGTTTTCTACACACGAGATCATGTCACCTAGAAAGAGACTTAATTTTACTCCTTCCTTTCCAATGTGGACGCCTTTTATTTCTTTTTTCTTGCCCAATTGCTCTGTCCAGAGCTTCCAGTACTATGTTGAACAGAAGTGTTGAGAGCAGGCAGCCCTGGTATGAGGGGTTTTGACTGATGCGTACGTCCGTGAAACACAGACTCCTTTCAAGATATGGCACTCGACTTTGACCCCAGAAAGCTCCCCCTGCTGGGTCCCGGTTAGTCCCCCCACACACCTCCTGGCAACCACCGTTCACCACCAAAGTTCTCAACCGCGCGACAACTTAGGCAGCACAGCCGTCTTAGGAATACGTGGGAAATCAAATCAATCCAGCCAAGAGAGGAGGCAGAATAAAGACCTTACGTAGCAAACTGAGTTTATTTACATACAGAACAAATATGAAGTATCTGCAGAAATGGTCGTTACAGAGCAGACTAGGAAAGTTATAAACGTTAACAACCTACAAACAACCAGAACTAACCAGAACCGGAGAGAGAAGGTTAGTTTTCTACGCTGCCAGAACAAATCACCACAAACTGGGTGGCTTCAAGCGACGGGAATTTATTCTCTCTCACTTCTGGAGGCCAGAGGTCTGAAATGAAGTTGGAACACGGGCTGGGTCCCCCAAGACTCCAGGGGAGGGTCCGTCCCTGCCTCTCGCAGGTTCTGGGTGTGCGGTGTCCTTGGCTTGGAGACGCTTCACTCTCGTCGCTGCCTCCGTCTTCACGTGGCCTGCGCCTCGTCCCTGTGTCTCCTTCTCTGCCATTTATAAGGACATAGGGACTGCATACCCTTATGAATGGCCTGCTGCCCTGGGATGTAGGGCTGCTCTCTCCTGCATGGTCTCCTCTCCAGACCCCTGCCTTAATGACTTCTGCTACGACCCTTGGGCCAAATGAGGTCGCATTCTGAGGTTCCAGGTAACAAATCCCTTTTGAGGAAGCCACAGTTCAACCCACTCTAGGGAGTTCCCCAAACAGGGAGCTTGAGGTTTGCCTGGGCTCACTGTGTCCCTGCTGGAAGCCCCCAAGCCCCACCCCAGCCACACTGAGGCCCGCTCCCACCAACTCAGCCCCATCCGGCCCTTCCTTTGAAGGCCCACGCTGGGGTCCGGCACTCTGGGAGAATTATTCCCTCGGGGACATCTGCTTGCTGTTTTCTAGAGTTTGCAGGAGTCTGGGGGAGGCAGGTACGTGTGTCCAGTCCTCCATCCCCTCCTGACCCGTGCCCCGTCCACCCTTCATCTGCCGGTCCTGGAGCCTCCTTTCCCAACAGAGAGATTTCTGGAATGATGTTCAAATCATATGGCTATTTTCAGATGGTGGGAATGAGGGCACTTATCTTTCTTTTCTTTTCTCTTTCTTTCTTTCTTGTTTGAAACAGGGTCTCGCTCCCTTGCCCAGGCTGGAGTGCAGTGGGGTCGTCACAGCTCACTGCAGCCTCACACTGCCCAGCTGAGCCCCGCTGGGAGAACACCGCATGCCGAGCTAATTGTTCCCTTCCCTCCTTCCTTCCTCTCTCCATTCTGTTCTCCTCCCAACCTTCCTCCCCTTCCCTTTCTTGAGACGGGGTCTCGCTACCTTGCACAGGCTGGTCTCCACAGGCGTCCTGGCCTCAGAAGATCCTCCCCCTCGGCCTCCCGCGCTGGGTGACAGGCGTGAGCCACCGGGCCCAGCCCCGTTACATGCTTTGTGTTCCTTTAACTGAAAGAAGATTGTGCCAATTTTACAAGAACGAAGCGATTACTCTATTTAAGGCGGAGGTGCAATTCTCCCGTGCCGGCTCTCAGGACGAGCAGGCGGAAGTCGTCAGGGCCGGGGCAGAGTGGCCGCGGGAGCGCTGCGCTGCCGGCGTGCGCGGGGCCTTCCGCCTCGCCAGCCTGAGGAGCGACGCCCTGCGGCCGCGACAGCGCACGCGCAGGCCACGGTCCCGCGACGGCGCACAGGGCGGCCGCGGTCCGTGCGGGGAGCGCGCGGGGCGACCGCCTCAGCGACGGACGCCAACGCCGGGCCGGCTAGCAGTGCGGTTCTGGGCATTTCCCGGCCTTTCCTCTTCCCGCTCCTTCTGCCGGCTGCGTTTTCCAGGCCGCGCGCGGGGGGCCCCGCCCGGGAAGCGAGCGCCGCCCCGCGGGGACGCGCCGGTCCCGCGTCCGCGTCCCGCCGCGCGAGGCGTCTCCGCCGCGGCCTCGGCTCGGCGCGCCCCCTGGCGTCGCGCGGGCGCACTGCGAGGACCCGCGCGTCCACCTGGAGCGGCAGCGTGGGCGACTCGGGCGGCCCAGGGCGGGGAGGGCCTCGGAGCGGAGGCTGTCTCCGTCTCAGTCCTGCCGCCTCGGCGTGTGCATCGAGGACGTCAGATTCTGTGGCTGGTCTTGCAAAACGACCCCTCCCTGGTTATTTTTAGTTTTTGTGTTTCTTTTTTTGGGCGAGGGGCAGATTCCCGTCGTCCTGAATGTACACGCCCGTGCGGGTTTTTCTGTGGGTCTCTCCCCGGCGCCTCAGGCGTCCCAGAGAAAGCTGGCGAGCAGACTCAGCGGGCGTCCCCGCCCTCCTGGCCGCCGCCGGCGCCGCCCGCGGTGAGCGCGCTCCGACCCTGCGGGCCCGGACTTCCGGCCGCACAGCCTCACCTGCGCACCGGCCGCGTGGGAACCTCGCCCTGGGCTGCTTCCGGAGAGGCATTTGAGGCTGCGCCTCCCGCCCTCCTGGCGGATGCCATCCCTGGTGAGATTCGGTTCTGCTTGGCGATTCTTGTGGTCTCAGTAACCGGCTCTCTGCGGCGAGTCATTTTGGACCCGGGTCGGACCCCTTCTGGGTTGGGTAACGTGAGTGTAGCCAGCACGCGCATAGGCCTCACTCCGGGCCAGGTGCTGCTGTGACTGTGCTATGTGTCCACTCATTTCATCCTCGCAGCAGCCTACAAGGTAGGTACGACATTTTAAACGTAAAAATACTAAGTATTGAGACATTCAATAACCGAGTCCATGTAGCTACCAAGGGGCGGGGCAGGGTTTGCCGCTGGACGGTGCAGCTCTGGGTGCTGGCAGATGGCCGCAATTCCTCATAGGCTCACCCTGAGGAGGTGGACTCAATTTTCCCATCCCGTGTACGTGAGCTGCCCTTGAGGCTTGCTGCTGGCTAAATGTAGTGAAAGTGTCACTGTATGAGTTCTGAGGCCTGGCATCTTCTGCTTCTGTGGCTCTCGGGACCTCTCTCGCCAGTGCCAAGCTGGCCTGTTGGAGGCTGAGCCCCCACGTGGAGGTGAGCTGAGGTGCCCTAGCCCACGGCCGGCCCCCACCAGCCAGCACATGACTAAGGTAAGCGGAGCGTGGCTCAGAATAGAAGAACTCAGAGCTGAGTCCAGCCCAGAATGCTGACACAGAAAACTGTGAGTCAAATAAATGGTAGCACCTCTCGTGGTCTCAGTAATTGGCTCTCTGTGCAGTGAGTAATTGGACCTAGGTCAGACCCCTTTTGTGTTTGGTAACAGTGGATTTAAGCCACTGATGTTTGGGATGGTTTGTTATTCAGCAAAAGCCTAATGACACAGGCACCAAAGTCCAGGTTCTTCTATATATTAGTGCTTTATATGGTAGGGAGTTACTAAGTATTGAACCATTTTGCAATCCCACGAGCAGTGTTTGAGATCTGATTTCTTCACATTCTCACCCACACTTGTTTTCTATTTTGTTTTGTTGTTTTAAAGTTAAAGCTTTCCTTGTGAGTGTGAAGTGGTATTTCATTGTATTTTTTATTTGACTGTCCTTAAACACCAGTGATTTTAAACATTTTCATTTGCTTGTTGGCTATTTGCATATTTTCTCTGTGTAAATGTGCGTTCAAGTCCTCTGCCCATTTTCTTTTCTTTTCTTTTTTTTTTTTTCTGAGACAGAGTCTCACCATGTTGCCTGGGCTAGAGTACCCTGGCGTCAGCCTAACTCACAGCAACCTCAAACTCCTAGGCTCAAGCAGTCCTCCTGCCTCAGTCTCCCAGGTAGCTGGGACTACAGGCATGTACCACCATGCCCAGCTAACTTTTTCTATATATTTTTAGTTGGCCAATTAATTTCTATTTTTAGTATAGATAGGAGTCTCACTCTTGCTCAGGCTGGTTTCGAACTCCTGACCTGGAGCAATCCGCCCACCTCAGCCTCCCAGAGTGCTAGGATTACAGGCGTGAGCCATCGCGCCTGGCCTCCATCACCATTTTTTAAATTTTTTAATTCTTTCCTCATTGGATAGTATTGGTATACTTGTCATAATTCAATTGACCATAGCTATTTGGGTTCATTTAGGAACCATATCATATTCCATTGGTAAATATGTGTTTACAATGTGGCCACTTCCATCCTGTTTTAATTACTGCAATTTTGCATTAAGTTTTGAAATTGGCCGGGAGCAGGGGCTCATACCTGTAATCCCAGCACTTTGGGAAGCTAAGATGAGAGGATTGCTTGAGGTTAGGAGTTTGATACCAGCCTAGGCAACATAGTGAGACTTTGTCTCTATAAAAAAAAAAAATTAACTTGATATGGTGGCCCATACCTGTAGACCTAGCTACTTGGGAGGCTGAGGAAGGACAATTGCTTGAGCCCAGGAGTTTGAGGTTGCAATGAGCTATGATCATGCCATTGTATTTCAGCCTGGGTGACAGACCAAGATCTCATCTCAAAAAAAAAAAAGGGGGGGGGAGATTCCTCTGAATTAATTTTAATCTGTTTCCTACTGCTCTAAAAGAATACCACAAACAGGATAACTTAAAAAGAGAAGATATTTATTTGGCTTGTAGTTTTGAAGACAAGGAAGTACAAGAGCATGGCACTGGCATCAGGTGAATCTTCCATGGAAGAAAGGCAAGGAAGTGGACAAGGCCAAGAAGGGATGGAGGCCAAACTTCATCCTTTTATCAGGAACCCACTCCCATGATAACAGCATAAATCCATTCACGAAGGCAGAGCTCTCATGACCCCAGGTGGGGTCTGGGCCTGAACTGGACACAAGCAAACAGGAGGGAGGTGTCTGCAAGTCCACTTGGGTCCACAGAAAGCTCTGCAAGCATCAACTTGAACATACATAGTCTTTATTAGCAATCCAGACAGGGAGGACTACAGCCGGATCCAGCAGGCAGTCCTGACCCTGATCTAGCAGTGCCCATGACCTGGGGGAGTGTGCCAAGGCTGTGGTGCCCACTGTACCCCCACGGCCTTGGGCAGACTCAGACCAGCCGCAGGAGTCGGGGGGACCACAGCAGAGCGAGGAGCAGCAGTAACCCAGAGGAGTCCTGCCGGGGTGGAGTGCAGGAAATCATCGTCTCTATCCAGGTGAAGTACACACTGACGTTGGTGTAGAGACCAGGCCGGTTGGGCTGACCACAGCCCATTCCCGAGCTCACGACTCCAACCTGATACCACAGTCCATCCTTGTCACAGACCAAGGGTCCGCCTGAGTCACCCTGGGGAGCAGCGTGGGTGAGACCAGCCTGGGGCAGGCCCAGGGAGCAGAGGAGGGGCTGGGAGAGCAGGAGGGGCCCTGGGGCTGGGTGCAAATCCTATTTCTTCCCTGGAAGTGACCAGGCCTCAGTTTCTGCATCTGCAAAGTGGAGCAGTAGCCTCCCAGGGTTGGTGGGATGATCAGAGGAGGTACAATTTATTCAAAATGAAAAGCATGTTTTATAGCCTTGGTAAATAAGGACTGCAAATGTTTTCTCATGAATAAATGCCCAGGGTGGGTTTGTGTGGGCACATGGGGTTGCTCTCAGGCCCGGGGTTGGGAAGGGCGGGATTCCCTGGTGGGGCACGGGCACTCACTTTGCAGGCGTCTACGCTGCCATCCTCAGCACCAGCACAAAACATGGAATCTTGAATCATACTGCGGCCTGCAGGCTGTTCAAACAGGTAGCTACACCTGGTGTTGTTTAAGATGGTGACCTGCACTTCCCGGAGGTTGTAGGGAGGCGGAATAAATGCTGGGGGAAAGGACAGAGGAACACAGCAACCTTAGCCTCTCCCCCAACATCTGGGGCAAGGGGAAGAGGAAGGCCCTATGTTACAGTGGTGGGGGGTGTCCCTGGCACACCCACAGTGCCTGGACATTGCTCTTGATGACTTCCCAGCACACAGCACAACATGGGCAATTAATGATGTCATAGAGAGAACCAATGGATAGACAGGTGTCATAGCTCACCTAGATACTGGATTTCTCTATTAATAGAATGAAGATAACAGTCCCTGCCTGAGCCAGTGGAGAGATTCCTTAGCCAAAGCATGGTGGGGGGAGGGGCCAAGGTGGATGAGAATGTTTGTTTAATACTCTACGGCTGCAGGATTCAGGCCAAAGCTTGCCAAACTTGATGAAAGACTTGAATATACAGATTCAAGAAGCTAAGCAGGCCGGGCGTGGTGGCTCACGCCTGTAATCCTAGCACTCTGGGAGGCCGAGGCGGGTGGATTGCTCGAGCTCAGGAGTTCAAAACCAGCCTGAGCAAGAGTGAGACCCCGTCTCTACTATAAATAGAAAGAAATTAATTGGCCAACTAATATACATAGAAAAAATTAGCTGGGCATGGTGGCGCATGCCTGTAGTCCCAGCTCCTCGGGAGGCTGAGGCAGGAGGATCACTTGAGCCCAGGAGTTTGAGGTTGCTGGGAGCTAAGTTGACGCCACAGCACTCACTCTAGCCTGGGCAACAAAGTGAGACTCTGTCTCAAAAAAAAAAAAAAAAAAGAAGCTAAGCAAACTCCCAGTGGGATAAACACAAAGAGACCCACACTGTGATTTGTTCTTTCTCTTTTTTTTGGATGACGGCAGATGGCGCCAGGTTTGGTTCCTCCCATCTCCCTCCATCACATTGAAATTTGATTATAATGTTATAATCAAACGTGTGAAGACAAATACAGAATCTGGTGAACAGCAGGAGAGAAATGACTCATCAAAGAGTAGGGATCTTCAACAAGATTAACAAAACAAATCTGACAAAATTCAACATCCTTTCACCATAGAAAATACTCAACATCACACCTGTAATCCCAGCACTCTGGGAGGCTGAGGCAGGAGGATGGCTTGAGCTCAGGAATTTGAGACCAGCCTGAGCAAGAGCGAGACCCCATCTCTACTAAAAATAGAAAAATTTGGCTGGGTGTGCTGTCGTACGCCTGTAGTCCCAGCTACTCCAGAGGCTGAGACAGGAAGATGGCTTGAGCCCAGGATTTGGATACTATTGCACTCTACCAGGGGCGAGAGTGACACCCTGTCTCAAAAAAACAAAACAAAACACAAACAAAAACAAAACAAACTAGGAATAGAAGAAAACTACCTCAACATAATAAAGGCCATATCAGAAAAGCCCACAGCTAAAACCATACTCAACAGTGAAAACCTCAAAGCTTTTCTTTTAGGATCAGGAACAGGGCAAGTATGCCCGCTTGCACCACTTCTATTCCACGGAGTACTGGAAGTCCTAGCCAGAGCACTTAGGCAAGAAAAAGAAATAAAGGACATTCCAATTGGAAAACAAGAAGTAAAATTACCTCTGTTCACAGATGACACAGTCTTTTATGTATAAATGCCTGAAGATTCAAAAAAAAGTGATAGAACTAACAAATTCAGCAGTTGCAACAATACAAAATCAACACTCAAAAATTAGTGGTGTTTCTATAAACTCAGAATGAACAATGCAAAAAGGAAATCGAGAAAACACCCATTTACAATAGCATCAAAGAGAATAAAACAAGAATAAATTTAATTTTGGAGGTACAAGAATTGTGCAAAAAAAGTCAATACATTGCTGAAAGAAATTAAAGTCTTAAATAAATGGAAACACATTGTGTGTTCATGATTGGAGACTTATTAAGATGGCAATAATCCTCAAAGCAATCTACATGTTTAATGCAACCACTATCCAAATCTCAATGGCCTTTTCTTATAGAATATCATAAGCTGATTCTAAAATTCACACAAAATATAAAAGGACCAAAACAGTATCCAAAAAGTAGAATAAAGTTGGAGGACTCACACTTCTACATTTTAAGACATACTGTAAAGCTATAGGAATCAAACAGTGTGGTCTTGGCAGATAGACAGACACATGTCCAGTGGAATTGAACTGTGAGACTAAGAATAAACCAGACATCTATGGCTAAGCAATTTGCAATAAGGGTGCAAGACAATACGATGGGGTGGGGAAAGAATAGTCTCTCCAAGAAATGACACTTGGACAACTGGATATCCGCATGCAAAGAAATGAAGTTGGAAACCTACCTCACTTCATCTATAAAAACCAACTAAGGCCGGATGCGGTGGCTCATGCCTGTAATCCTAGCACTCTGGGAGGCCAAGGTGGGTGGATTGTTTCAGCTAAGGAGTTCGAGACCAGCTTGAGTAAGAGTGAGACCCCATCTATACCAAAAATAGAAAGAAATTAGCTGGACAACTAAAAATATGTAGAAAAAAATTAGCCAGGCATGGTGGCACATGCCTGTAGTCCCAAGCTACTTGGGAGGCTGAGGCAGAAGGATCACTTGAGTCTGGGAATTTGAGGTTGCTGTAAGCTAGGCTGACACCACGGCACTCTAGCCCGGGCAACAGAGTGAGACTCTGTCTAAAAAAAAAAAAAAAAAAAAGCAACTCAAACTAGATCAAAGTCATAAATGTAAGAGTGAAAACTATAAAACTCTTCCCAAAAATAGCGGTAAATCTTTACAACTTGGGATTTGGCAATGGTTTCTTAGCTATGACACCAAAAGAACAAGCAGCAAAGGAAAAAATAAGTAATTCTGACTTCATCAAAATTAAAAACTTTTTTCAATACTATCAAAATAAAGGGAAAAGAAAACCTACAGAATCGGAGAAGATAGTTGCAAATCATATATTTGATAAGGGTCTAGTATCCAGAACATATAAGAATGATACAACTCAATAACAACAATAACAAAAAAACCCTAACTTAAAAATGGGCAAACAATGTGAATAGGCATTTCTCTAAGTAATATATACACGTGGCCAGAAAGCACATGGAAAATGCTCAGCATCATCTGTCATTAGGGAAACGCAAGTGAAAACCGCAATGAGATACCGCTTCATGCTCTCTAGGAAGGCCACAGTAAAAAAAATTGGAAAATAAGAAGCGTTGACAAGAATAGGGAGGAATTGTAGCCCTCATTTTTGATGAGAATGTAAAACAGTGCAGTTACTATAGAACAGTGTTTGGTGGCTCCTCAAAAAGATAAACACAGCATTACAGTATGATACAGCAATTGCATCCCTAAATATATACCTACAATAATTGAAAAGAGGTGTTCCAACATGCGCTTGTGTACTAATCTTGATAGCAGTTCTAGCCACAATACTGAAAAGGTTAACATGATGCAGCTGTCCTTAGATGGAAGAATGGTAAACGAGCAATGGCACATGACTCAGCCACAGAAAGAATGAGGTTCTTCTGCAGGCTACGCCACGGATGAAACTTTAAGACACTATGTTATGCGAAAGAAGCCAGACCAAAAAGACCAATGTTGTGTGATTCTATTTATGTGGGAGGTCATGGGCCTGGGGAATGGGGGACTGGGAGTCATGACTGAGTAGTATGACATTCTACTTTGAGATGAGGAAATCTGCAATCAGACAGTGGTGATGGTTGTACATCGTTATGAGTTTATTAAATACCACTGAACTGTATACTTCAAAACTGCACACTTAAGACTTTTATGGTTGTAAATTAAGTCTCAATGGTAAAAAATCACTGCCTGAGGCCTCTGTCACCAGGCTCATCCCCAAACCCGCCACCCCTGCAGCCTGGCCTCCCTCTCAAGTCTCCTTCTGGCCCCCACAGTCTGGGCCAGCGAGAGCTGGGTGTCTGGTTCCTGCCCTGGCAGGTGGGAGCCAGCGCAGAGAGGCAGGTGAGGAGAGGAGGGGACCAGGCTGGCAGGGCGTCCCACCCCGCCCAGGCCAGGGAGGGGGCTGCGTGCCTGTGTGCCAAACAGAGGTGGAGGGTAAGGCCAGGGCCACCCCAACCTCCACCCCCCCACACCCTATGGGCCTCCATCCCCCCACCCCGTCTGTCCCCAGCCTCACTGTCATTCTCGCTGAGTACCCCCCAGCCAGTCACCCAGCAGTTGGGCCGGTGCTGGAACATGAAGGTGGACGACAGGACACAAATGGGCTGGATGTACTTAGTGTAGGTGACAGGGGTGGCCAGTCTCAGCAGGGCTATGTCACTGAGACCCTCATAGAAGCTGGGGTTCACAATGATATCCTGCACCCTGTATCGATTGATGTAGGCCCGAAGGTTCCAGATGGATGGCTTAAGAGTTAGCTCTCCAAGCTGGACCAACCAGTTGGAGGCATCATGGAACCTGGCAAAAGAGAAGAGAGTGGCTGGGGGCCCTGGCAGGAGAGTTGGCCACCTGAGCACACCTGGGGGCCCAGTCCATGATGTGAGACTGTGGGGTAGGTACTACTTGCTCACCCTGGCTGCCATTAGCAAGTTCTTCTCATGGGCAAAACAGCCCCCTGCAGACATGGGAGAACCCAGAGAGGCCAAAACCAAAGTCCCAAATCCTGGGAGCTGTGGGTGTGTGGAGTCGAAGGGTGGGGTCTTGTTGGCTCCAGGATACTGAAATTGAGCCAAGCCCTCCATGGCGATTCCCATGCAGGCCCAAAGTAGGACGAGCTATGCCCAGGCAATGAGCAAGGGCACCAGGATACAGTCAACACAGCTTCCCAGGGAGTGCTCGCCACAGCCAGGCCCGGGGCTCCACATCCGCTGGGAGCCATAATGACAGACGGATGCAGGGTGGTGCCATGTGGGTTGAAAAAAATAATAACATTACACCCAAGCATGAGTTGAAATGTTCTGGGAAAGCATCCTGGAAGAACCTGAACAGGGTTCCCTCCAGATGCACCAAAGGCAACTGGTGTCACCAGGTGCAGCTGGGACTCAGAAGAAAAACAGACATAGTGACAGAGGTCAGCCGCCCTGTCTGCCCCCACGTGCCCCCAGACTCACCTTTGGAAGCAGTGCGCAGCCGAGAGCACCCAGCGGCGGCTGAGCAGGCTCCCTCCGCAGAAGTGGCCTTCGCGCACTCGCAAGAGGGCCTGCCACGGCCAGCGCCCGCGCACCGTCTCCACTCCGCCCACCACCAGCGGGTGAATGATGTCGCGGTGGCCGCAGGGCTCTGGGGCGGACACACGCACCCGCGGCTCAGCCACGAAGCAGGCCCGCCCCTCCCGGCCTCGCCTCCGCGGTGCGTGCAGGCGGTACCCCGGGATCCGCGCCCTCCCAGGACCCCCGCGCGTCCCAGGTCGAGTCCAGGCGGAGGAAGGTGACTGGGGACCCTCCCACGTGCTCCACAGGGCCCGTCCCTCCCCCCCCCCAGGGCCCGTCAGTTACTTGATAGCAGCCTAGCCTCTGTGGAACCTGGGGCGGAGAGGAATATAGATGAGACGCCCACTGCGCCCCGGCCCACGTGCACCGCGCAGGGAGGCGCGATCCGGGCGCCTTACCTGACAACAGGTCGGCCTCCTGCGACTCTGGGAGGAGGCAAGAAGGTGAGCTCCCGAGCTTCCCGTGCCCCACTGCGTGCCGCCCCCGCGACCCACCGCCCTCCCCTGTGTCACTTGTGCCGCCCCCCACCCCTGCAATCTCCATGCCGCCCACCCCCCACGCGGCCTCCCCGCGGCTCCCTGGCTGCACCGGCCACCCCGGCTGCCGCCCCCGCGTCCCCAGCCGCGGAGTTCACCTGGTGTCCCCAGGCTCCCCCGCGCCAGCAGCAGCGCCAGCAGCAGCGCGCAGGCCCGCGCGCCCATGGCCTCGGCTGCGCAGCGTGGCGCCCCCTCTGCTTCCTCCTCCCAGGCCGGCTGGGCGCCCCCTGGGGAGCGGGAGCCAGGGCGCCCTGGCCCAGCACCTGCCCCAGCTGGGCCTCCTGGGCCCGGGCCGTCTGGGGACCCTCAGGCCTCACAGCGCCCTGGCTTTCCGCTCCTGTGGGCCGCGTCCCCAACCACGCTCCTTGGTGTGACCTGGGGACCTGTGGACCTGAACAAGCTCTTTCTTTTCTGCAGGCCCAGAGGCTGACCCCCCGGCTCCCTCATCTCCACCCACTACTTCCCCCAGGACCCAGGACCCGGGACCTGGCCCACAGCGGAGTCCCTGTTAAAGCTCATTAACAAGTCTTCATTGAGGGCCGACTTGTGGCCTTACATCGGGTCACCTGTTGCTAAACGTCATGGTCCCGGGTCGTGACCAGGTGGAGGAAGGACCCACGGAATGAGAGGCGGCCGGCTCCCCATCTGGAGGGCTCTGAGCCCACGTCTCTGCCCGCTGCCCTGCAAAAGGCCCCACACACTGCATGGAGCCCACGGCCCCCTCTCCTTCCTCGTGGGGGTGTCGTGGGGCTGCCAACGGACCCCAGCTGCCCTCGGATCCTAGCTGCCAGCGGACAAGTGAGTCGGGTCCAGGACACCACCCTCGGGCAGTGATTCACAGCTCTCAGCAAACCAGCGACTCCTGGGCATGGTTTCCGCAGCGAAGGGTGCACAGGTCAGAGCCCGGGAGAGCCCAGGGCGGAAGTTCCGGCTGCGGTCCCGGTGCAGTCTGTGGACAGCGCCCAGTGCGCCCGCCATCCAGGGCAGCAGCACAGGTGACGCCCTGCCACCCAGGGAGGCTCCCTGAGCCCTGGTGGCCAGGGTGTGTACTGGAGAGTGGTCGTGTGGGCTGGAGCAGGTGGGCTGACACCGGTCAGTCAGTCTCCAGCCCCTGCAGAGGTCAAGGGATACCGCATGGCCCAGGCCCTGCCATCGATCACGTTTTAGCATACACTGTCTGGGGGAGCCCCAGGCTCTGGGTGGGCAGAGACATTCTTATCAGGCAGGACACTCAAGGGCTTAGAGTTCCTCCCAGGACCTGGCCAAGGACCAGCCTTTATTGGATGTGCAGCATTTGACACCCCAAGCCTGCTGAGTTCGCATTTTGCTGTAAAGGTGCCCCTTGGCCCTTATGGCAAAACGATCATAGTTTTCTGAGCATCTGAGGCTGGAATGCAAATAAGAGCATGGCCAGGCAGGGCTGGGAGGCCCCAGTACTTGACCACAGCTCCCTCCTGAGGCCACAGTGTACTGGTTGTACCCCAAGGCTGGTGCAGTGAGGACAGCTTCTCCAGTGAGCGTTTGTTATAAATGGCCTTTATTATGTTGAAGTGTGTTCCTTCTATGCTGCATTTGTTGACAGTTTTTATCATGAAGGCTATTGAATTTTATCACATGGTTTTTCTGCATCTATTGAGATGATCAACCGATCATGATCGGTTTTCGTGGTTCATTCTGTTGATGCGAGGGATAACATTTATTGATTTGGGTATGCTGAAGCATGCTTGCACCCATGGGATGAATTCCAATTGAACGCTGTGTATTCTATTTTTAAAGTGCTGTTGGATTCAGTTTGCTAGTAATTTGTTGATGATTTTTGCACCTATCTTCATCGGGGATCTTGGCCTGTAGTTTTCTATTTTTGCTGTATTCTTTTCTGGTTTTCATGTAAGAGTAATTCTGGCCCCACAGAAGGAGTTTGGGAGAATTCCCTTCTCTTGAATCTTTTGGAATAGTTTGAGGAGAATAGGTGTTAGTTCTTTGTAAGTTTGGAAGAAAGAGCTCATGCAGTGAAGCCATCCAGTCCTGGGCTTTGTAGGGAGTCTTTTTATTACTGATTCAATCTTATTACTTGTTATTTGTCTATTCAGGTTTTTTATTTCTTCCCAAGTCACTCTTAGTAGGTTGGATGTGTCCAGGAATTCATCCATTTCTGCCAGGTTTTCCAGTTTGTTAGGATATAGTTGTACAAAGGTCTCTGACAATCTTTTTTATTTCTGTGGTATCACTTGTATTGTCTCCTTTGTTATTTCTGAATTTGTTTATTTGGATTTTCTCTCTTTTTTTTTTCTTGGTTAGTCTAGTTAGCAGTTTATCAGTTTTGTTTATCTTTTCAAAAAACTAACTTTTCATTTCGTTGATCCTTTGTACATTTTTTTAGTCTATTTCATTTAGTTCTGTTCTGATCTTTATTATTCCTTTCCTTCTACTAATTTGGGGTTTGGTTTGTTCTTATTTTTCTAGTTCTTTCAGGTGCATCATTAAATTGTTTATTTGAAATCTTTCCACTTTTTTGATATGGGCATTTTTTGCTATAACTTCCTTCTTAATACTGCTCTTACTCTGTCCCATAGGTATTAATTGGTGTGCTGTGTTTCTCTTTTCACTTGTTTAAAGAATTTTTTTTATTTCCTCCGTAATTTCTTCATTGATCCAATGATCATTCAAGAGCATGTTGTTCAATATCTATGTATTTGTACAATTCTGGAAGTTGCTCTTGTTATTGACTTCTAGTTTTATTCCATTGTTGTCAGTAAAGATATTTTATATGATTTTGATTTTTAAAACTTTGTTGAGACTTGTTTTGTGGCCTAACATATGGTCTATCCTGGAAAACAATGATGAGAAGAATATATATTCTGAAGCTGCTGGATGAATTGTTCTGTAAATGTCTGTTAGATCCATTTGTTCTCAGGTGCAGTTTAAATCCAATGTTCCTTTGTTAATGTTCTGTCTGGATAGTCTGTATAATTTTGATAGTGGGGTGTTGATGTCCATAACTATTACTATATTGGAGTCTACCTCCTTTCTGGTTAAATCATGTTCTCTTTATATATCTGAGTGCTCTGGTGTTCAGTGCTCATATATTGAGAACTGTCATATCCTCTTGATGTATCGATCCTTTCATCATTATATAATGACTTTTCTTTTTACTGCTTTTGACTTAAAGTATTTTATCTGTTGTAAGTATAGCTACTTCTGTGTACCTTTGGTTTTCTTTTGTATGGAATATCTTCTTTTCATCTCTTTACTTTCAGTCTATTTGTGTTTTTTCAAAGTAATATGAGTTTCCTGCAGACAGCAACTATAGTTGGGTCATTTTTCTTCACCCATTTAACCCTCTATATCTTTTAAGTGGAAAGTTTAATCCATTTACATTCAAGGTTATTATTGGTATGTGAGGGCTTATTGCTAGCGGTTTATTAATTTTTTTCTTCTTGTTTTATATATCCTTTGTTCCTTCCTTTCTCTCTTATTGTTTATCATTATGGTTTGGCGTTTTTCTGTATTGGTAACTTTTGAGTCCTTTCTCTCTTTCTCAGCCTTCTTTGTGTGTTTATTTTACCATTGGGTTTTATACTTTCATGTGTGTTCATGGGAGTAGAGATTATCCTTTGACTTCCAGGTACAGGATTCCCTGGGGCATTTCTTAGAGAGCCAGTCTGTGGTGATGAATTCCACAAGCTTTTGCTTATCTAGGAAAGACTTTACTTCTCCTTCATTTACTAAGGATAACTTTGCCGGGCATAGTATCCTTGCCTGGCAATTTTTTTTCTTTGAGCATTTTGATTATATCATCACATTCTCTTACAGCCTGTAAAGTATCTGCTGAGAAATCCACTGGTCTGATGGGGGTTCCCTATAAATGACTAGATGCTTTTCTCTTGATGTTTTTAGAATTCTGCCTTTGACTTTGACTTTTGACAGTTTCACTATAATTTGTTGCTCAGAAGACCTGTTAGGGTTGTATCTATTTGGGGATCTCTGAGCTTCCTGTATCTGGATGTTTAAATATGTAGATAGATTTGGGAAGTTTTCCCCTATCGTTTTATTAAATAGGTTTTCTGTCCCTTTGTTCTTCTCTTCATCTTCTGGGAAAGCAACAGTTCTAATATTTGGTTGCTTTATGGTGTCTCATATGTAACCAAGGATTTGCTTATTTTAAAAATTATTTTTTGCTTTTTTCAGTTGTGTTCGCAGCCGCCGCCATGCAGCTGTCGCTCTCAAGCGCCAGCGCCGCCTCTTGCTCCGAGCTCCAGCCGAAGGAGAAGGGGGGTAAGTAAGGAGGTCTTTATATACCATGGCTCGCACAAAGCAGACTGCCCGCAAACCGACCGGTGCTAAAGCACCCAGGAAGCAACTGGCTACAAAAGCCGCTCGCAAGAGTGCGCCCTCTACTGGAGGGGTGAAGAAACCTCATCGCTACAGGCCTGGTACAGTGGCACTCCGTGAAATTAGACGTTATTGGAAGTCCACTGAACTTCTGATTCGCAAACTTCCTTTCCAGCGTCTGGTGCGAGAAATTGCTCAGGACTTCAAAACAGATCTGCACTTCCAGAGCGCAGCTATTGGTGCTTTGCAGGAGGCAAGTGAGGCCTATCTGGTTGGCCTTCTTGAAGACACCAATCTGTGTGCTATCCATGCCAAACGTGTAACAATTGTGCCAAAAGACATCCAGCTAGCACGCCGCATACGTGGAGAACGTGCTTAAGAATCCACTATGATGGGAAAACATTTCATTCTCAAAAAAAAGATTCTCTTCTTCCTGTTATTGGTAGTTGTAAACGTTAGATTTTTTTCCCCCCCCCATGGGGTCAAAAGGTACCTAAGTATATGATTTCAAGTGGAAAAATAGGGGACAGAAATCAGGTATTGGCAGTTTTTCCATTTTCATTTGTGTGTGACTTTTTAATATAAATGCAGGATGTGAAGCATTAATGCAAGTCAAATGTTTCAGTGAACAAGTTTCAGCAGTTCAACTTTATAACAATTATAAATAAACCTGTTAAATTTTTCTGGACAATGCCAGCATTTGGATTTCTTTTAAAACAAGTAAATTTCTTATTGACAGCAACTAAAAAAAAAAGAAAAAAATTATTTTTTCTTTGTTTTTGTCTGATTTGGTTTTTCAAAAGACCTGTCTTCAAGTTCTGAAGTTGTTTTTTTTTTTTTTTTTTTTTTTTTTTGAGACAGAGTTCGCTTTGTTGCCCAGGCTAGAGTGAGTGCCATGGTGGTCAGCCTAGCTCACAGCAACCTCAAACTCCTGGCTCAAGCAATCCTGCTGCCTCACCTCCAAGTAGCTGGGACTACAGGCATTCGCCACCATGCCCGGCTAATTTTTTGTATATATATTAGTTGGCCAATTAATTTCTTTCTATTTATAGTAGAG